GCGCCAAAAGATTAAACTTACATGATCGCTTTTTTGTGATAATGTAGAAAGTAAATTGTTCAAATCACATTCAAAGATAAAGGAAAAAATATTCAATTTTTTTTTTCAATGAAATATATGGAGATAACGAACAGTATTCAAGCTCAAAAGTCCATTAAGCATTACAGAATAGATGTAGAGCAAACACGGACCTCCAAAACATCAGGTAGGATCAAGTGCCATGGAGGAGTGAGCATCACACCCGCCGTGTGCTCCTTGTCATGATCGGGAAATAACGGAAAAATCAGTCGGCAATTCAGTGTGTAAATAACAACCTAACAATTAGTTAGCTTGACTCAATCGTAAATTGTATTTGCTGACAAGGGCATTGTATTGACCATAGAACTTACGAAATTATTACTTTAAATGAGACTGCTGATATTCTTGTTTCATCAACTTGTTTGTCAATAATTTACCTCGTTTTATAAATTGTACATACGTACAGTGCAGGAAACTAATTTTGTTACAGCATCGATGCTGATTTGAATGCTTCCTTTGCTTGCTGATTTGAATGTTTCCTTTGCTTGCTGATTTAATGCTAGTAATCCTTGTCCTGATGCTGTTTTATAATTAGGTCAATGCTACCGGAAGTAGCATCATGCTACCGGAAGTAGATAATGAATTTCAGCATTGCTGTTTAAAGCAATAAAAGTGCCTTTTACAATTATTTGATCATAATATCTCACTATGTATCAATAATGTGAATACTTTAACCAATATTCTTTCTTTCTTTTTTAATTTTTTACTGAATTAAAACTCATTGATTTTCTGATGATAGTAGGATAATGCTGATTTTATGTAGGTCAATGCTGGTTTTATCCTTTGCTTGCTGATGCTGATCCTGGTAATGCTGTTTTTTAAATGCTGATGCTGATGCTAGCTCGATCCTGATGGTACTAATGCTTATGCTGATGCTGGTTTATGTAACAAAATTAGTTCTCTGCACTGTAGAGCATGCTCTTGCGTATCGAATCAACTGAGAGATATAAACCCCGTATGCAGGTGATGAAGGTATATTGCTGCATAAGTAAGGGAACTTGACGATTGAAAAGTTAAAGTCATCACGTTTATCATAAAAGCTTGGTTGTTAAATTACCATTAACGTCTTTTTCAAGTAAAATATCCAAATATGAAACAGATGTGTCAGACTCTGTAGTATCTTTTATCTCAAGCTCACCGGGATATATCGTATCGACATAAGAATGGAAATAACCATTGTTAATTGACAATACTTCGTCGGTATATCTAAATGTCGAGTTGAACGCCACAGCAAGTGTTTTCTTCTTTTCACGTAGAAAAAAAACTTTTATCAAAAGAAATTTAAAATTGGTCAAGTCTGCCCCCCCCCCTTTCCAACACAATGGGTCATGAAAGATTTCCATCAAAAAATATAAAAAAAAAAAAGGAAATAAAAATGAATAAATAAAAAAAACCTTTTGAGAACCTCTGGACCAGAAAAAAGAAGAAATTTATATGAAAACTTCTTAAGGCAGTGTAAATTATAAATTTTTCAAATCATGCCCTCAATCATAGCGTAGGGTTAGCATATAAAAGGGGATGAAGGTTTTATACAGAAATGGTTTTAAAAAAAACAATTGAAGAACCAGTGAACCAGACAATATGATATGTAAAATGTGAAAATAACGGACAAGGATCAATCTCATAAATCCAATAAAAAAAACAAAATGTGAACATGGCAAAGACACAGACCCCTGGAAACACAAGAGTTGGAATCAGGTGCCTAGGAGGAGTAAGTATCCCCTGTTAACCGGTCACACCCGCCATGCGCCTATTGATAAGGTAGGAGTGCTTTGTTATAAAAGCAATGGCCTCACAAATGGTATCAAACACTTCAGACAAAACAAGATCAAACACCAAGATATACTTTCAAAGAGGGTCAATATAACGATCGTAGAATTTGCGAAAAGCTGACAAAGGGGGATTTTGAAACCCTTGTAATATCAACTAATTTGTCACTAACTTGCCTTTGTTTAAAAATTGGTCGTACTCGACGCATGCTCTTCTGATGCCAATCAATTGAGAGAAATAAGCAACACATGTAGGTGATGTTGGACAATTGTTGACAAACAAGTTGATGAAACAAGAATATCAGTAGTCTCGTTTAAAGTCATCATTTCGTAAGTTCTATGATCGATACAAAGACCTCGTCAGCAAATACAATATATCACTGAGTCAAATGCTGACTGACGTTTTTCATACTTATTGTTAGGCCATTATTTACACACTGAATTGTCGACGGATGACAATGAGCACAAGGCGGGTGTGACCGGTCGGCAGGGGATGCTCACTCCTCCATGGCACCTGATGTTTATGGAGGTCCGTTCTTGCTCTGCACCTATTTTGTATTGTTTTATGGACTTTTAAGCTTGAATATGTATTTCATAGCTTTCCATATATTTCATGGAATATTATTAAATAAATTCATAATGTATGACAAACGAGATGACTTCAGCTTTTCCATTGTCAATGAACGATGGAAAAGATGAAGTCATTCCATTAGTCATTAGCACAAGTTTCGAAAGTTTTAAAAATCATTGTCCAAGGATAGGATGGGGTAACAATGGGGGATAAACTTTTAACACTGAAATATTTAAAAAAATATATACTTTTAAAAAATCTCTCTCACAATATCCACTGTACAAGAAAAGACAGTACTTCTGTGAGAGCTTCCTTATGTAATGTACATTCTTACTTGTTCAAATCATGGCCCCGTTTCCAAGTTATAAGCTCAGGATTATTTCTTTTCTTTCAAATTTTGGAATCCGGATTAATGTTTGCTAAAATCGGGATCAAATTTTTCATAATACATGTACATGCATGTATCCATGAAAAGATTTTTTTCTTCATAACTGCAAGGTCATGTTATTCATATCGATATTGAAACATCTCCATACTTTATGGATTCAGAGACCCCTTATATAAATGGGTCCATATAATGGAATCAATTTGTTTTTATGAAAATAGAAAGTCTTCTTAGGAACAGTCGTGCGAAAGTTCCTCAGCTGAGTAACTTGTTTATCTTTTCAGTGCTGGAATAGGACGAACGGGGACTTACATCGCTTTAGACGCCCTGTACAGGGAAGCTTTGAAAACAGGAAAAGTTAATGTGCCAAAATATGTTGAAATTATGAGAAAGGACCGAATGAACATGATACAAGGAGAGGTAGAAGGATTTTTTTTTAATTTGGATACATTTATAACTGCAATGTCATTAACCTTTTCAGCAAGAAAATGTGGGCAAACAAGCGTTTAATTTAATTGGAAAATAAAGATTTTTAGAAGCTAAACAATGAATACAAAGCATTTTTCCTTAAATCCACACCATCTTCCTAAAAAAAAAATACACAGTAACAAAAGCGAATTCTGACATTCCCACGGAAATAACAATCAATTATTGATTTTCTTTTAATTTGCATTATAGAAGCAATACAAAGTTGTCTACCTGGCGCTATTTGAGACGTTCAGAGAAAAATCAAAGTGTCAGTCTAAGGAACAGTTTTTACAAGAATACCAGGAACAGACTTCGAACACTAACAGGGAAAAATATCCAACGGAGACAACTCTTTCAGCGGAATTTGAGGTAATCAATTTGATTAATAAGCTAATATCATTTTAGGTGAATTTATTACAACATGTACAATGCCGATAAAGAATTCAATTCTTTTAATTTAAACTATAAATTCACTTACGTCAAATTTGCATCGTTTCATACCAATAAAAAACTAAAATGAATTACCTGCAAAAATGGTTTTTTCCAGTTAATTTGCTTCTTAATATGAATTTTATAACTGTTAAAAGGAATTAAACAATCTTAAAGAAAGGTATTCGATGAGTGACTATACGATATGGAGCTTAAATACGACGGCAAATTACACAAAAACGGTTTTTCCGGGTAAGATGCACTTTGAATATTTTCATTTTTTTTTTTCGCATTCGTAATTTCTATGATATATCAGCAAAAATTCATACGTAATAGTAAATTCTTTATATACAATACCTTACATTATTATGTATGCAAAATTGTAATTTAAAGTTATTTAAGTTTTATTCAAAGTTTTGAACTTTTTAAATGTAAAGTTTAAGCAAAGATTTTTTGTTAAAAGTGGATAAATACCTGTGTCATCTTACTTATGAAAAGGACAGAGGGACATATTACAACGCTGTAATCCATCAGGTATGTTTGTCTAGAAACCCAATTGGTATTTTCCAAATATCGCATAAGTTGATTTTTTAGCGAGGCGGAAATCTAGCGATTTGGTCGTATAAATCGGGATATCATTTTAGCGAGAAGTAATTTTACTCAGCTACGTTAAGGAAGTCCTAAGATCATTTTGTGATGCGCCGAATGGGAAGTTTCATGGGAAGTTCTGTAACATGTAAACAGTTACTTTGTTACAAAGATTTTTAAAAATGCAATTTTAGCGATCTCAACACCCTCGCTAATAATGCCAAAATTGAATCCTTGCTAAAAATTCTGCTTATTTGGTATTAAAATAATTTCTCGAAAAATTCTTCTTTACTTTACTACATTTGGGATTTTTTTCAGTCCTTCACATGTAACGATAAGTTGATCAGCGCCCAGTATCCACTCCCAGACTATGTAGAGGATTTCCTGAGATTGGTTAAAGATTTCAATGTCAACATTGCCGTCTTCATGTGTCCTCTTACGGAGTTATCATCGGTAAGATTTTAAAAAAAATTTGTCTTAAATATTTATTGAAATGTTAAAAGCAGTAAGTTAGTCGTTAAGTTTCATATCATTGAAGCCTAAAGGTTTTAGTGTGATTCGAACACATAACCAAATGCATTATACATATTACTTAAATTTTCGAAAGTGATACTGTTTCTAACCTATTGGTGACAAATGTATTCTCTTGAATATTTTATTCATTCTTTTGAATTAATATACATTTTAGTCTTCTCAATGGTTTCCTTTCCAAAAAGAAGCAAAAAGAGTGGGATCATTTACCATTAATTATAATGAGTCGAGAAGCAAGAAAAACATTACTATAACAGACATTTTGATTCTTAAAGAGGTTTGTTCTAAAGAAGAATAGTTAATTTTTATTTAGGTAAAACTATAATGTTAATTATATTAATAAAAAAATGTTATCGAAGGACAAATGATTGCTTGGAATGTTTCAGGAAACTTGTAAAATGGATTTGGCAGTAATTGAATGTAAAAAATGGAGAGATGGTACTTCTTCGTCAGATCCTGAGGTATTGCTTGATGCAATAAATGTAACCAAAAATGAAGATATTCAGCCTGACACCAAAATTCTGGTCTTGTCGAGGTATTAAATGAAGTGAATAATCAATAAAATAAATTATAAGCCATTTTCTTGAGTTTTCAATCATCAATTGATGCTTATTTGTATATACTAAATGCATACATTTATGGTAGAGTGTATGTATTTTTGCCACAAAATACTTTCAGTGATGGTGTAAAGGGCTGCGGCCAATTTTGTGTTGCCTACAACGCTCTAGACCAAATCTCCCTTGATAGAGAAGTCGATGTATTCACTAGTACACGACTGTTACAAATTAGAAGACCAGAATTTATCTCCACATTGGTAAGTCAGTCATGATCTCATCTGACAGTATGACGAACTCATTTGGATAACGATAAAATATTGAAATCTTTCTACTACAGAGAACAAGCTAACATCACTATCTTAAAGCTGAATTTGCTATATTCAGTTTATATCTCATTATGGATAAAAAAAAATAATTCGTATTTAATAAATTATTTTCTTTTGGGATATTTATGATATAAATATGATTTCTTCTGAAGGTGCTTCATCTTATTGCATACCCTGAAAAGCAGAATTACACTTAGAAAATATATGAAATTTCTTTCAACGTCTCTCTTTCTATCTGAAATACTTTGACTTTTAAATAACCATGTATATTTCTTACCTATACTTTTTAAATGTTTCAAAAGCAATACTAGTGGACCACTATTTGATACACTTTTAGAGTGGTGTCTTATTGCTTTAATACTTTTGAACTTGAAAAAATTAACCAGTCATAGTCACCATTGCCTTGAGCTTTTCTTTATTTCTATGATAAATTAGAGTCCAACAAACTCTGATCTTTCTTTTCTACATCAAAGCTATCAAGGATGTTAGAAAGAAGAATACCAAATATAGGTCCTGCTGCAAAAAAGATTTGTGGGGTTTTTTTTCATATCAATGATGCGCATTCTATTGTAGGCTGATTACCGGTTTTGCTATGATGTTGTAGTCGAATCCCTGAAGAATAACATTTACGCTAACTGCTAGGCGGCTTGGTTGGCTACATTGTCTTGCAAAGTTTGTCGTTTTATTGAATTAATATAGTCATGGAAAATTTTGCTGAATAATATGATTAACAAATTTTGTTTATACATTAGTAATAGTACTCAATATATCTCTTGATTTTAAAAAAAAAAGTAACATGTACTCCTTTTTCAAAAAATCTAAGTCGAGTTAGTAAATAGCATGAAAATTAATTAATTTTGCGAAATAAGATAAAGATAGTCTTCAGAACATTATGTTAACTCAAAGAAAGTTCAAATATATCTGTATAACCAATAGCCAAATTAAACCTCATACACCATTTTTTTAATTTAATTTTCCTCGTTAACTAAACAATAACAGGAAAGAGCAAAATTAAATTTCCTTGTTACTAATGCAGACTCACTATGAAGTATTTTATTTCCTACTTCTGCTATCTAGTTTTTCTTTGCTTTTTTCACAGATGGATCCGTTGGAAAATTTGCTCCCCAAGGAAGTGTTTATTGATTTCCCTAAAGATTTCAGAATGAGTCATCAGTATTACAGTTTTACTCAGCTCTTATGTCCTGAATTACTGAACATGAACTTGACTGGGGTCAAATACGTACAACTGCAGATTTTTTTTTTATTCAACATTTCAAGAATTTCAAGTAAAAAGTAGATAAGTAGTAGACATTAACAATTTTTTTTATTCTTCCTTGATTTCAACATTATATATTGTAACATATGCATGCTGATTATAAAACTCACGCTATTTCTCAACAATAAGAAAGACATAAAACTAAATATTGTATATCATAATATTTTAACTGTTTCTTCAATACATTGTTAGCCCTTCAATCACTTTTTTATCAATATATTGTCATTATATTAGGGGAAGATGTTCTTATATAACTATATTCTGCTTTTTTTTTTTCTTTTTTTTAAATGCTCATTAAGGTATATTAATATTATGATTCTTTTTTTTTTCTAAGATTATATTACTCTACCATTGATGCATTGAAGATATTAAAACTCCTATATATTGCCTTAGTTGATAATTTAAATGTAATTAATAAGTGTTATTTAAAATATAGCATGTTACCAAAACATCGAAAAATCTCTCCATTCGGTAGTAACCTATCAGAATCTTCTCTGGTTTTCTTATCTACGAAAGACTAGAAAATTGGTGAACTTTAATTTTGCATTAAAAACATGTGAAAGAAAGCTCGGAGTTTAAAACCTAATGGAAACCAGGTGAATGTAGAAGAATCACAATTATATTTGAATTGTATACATATCTGTGACTGTCCATAAAGCCAATGTTTATGAACCTATTTGGTGCCTGTTATAAATGTAAATGTGTTGTTTTTACCAAAACCTGAACAACATAAGTGTTTGCGCAGGTAGGTTAAGGCTTCCCGTAGAATATCACAGTGCACTCTGTGCCTTCACATCTCTGAACTACCAAAATATGACGTCATAATGGAAAATGACGTCAAGTCACTGCACACTTGAGGCGTTATGATGGGGAGAGTGTCATGAACTTTACACTTTATTTCAAACTGCATGTAAAATGCTAGATAACTATTGCAAAATTCACGGGTCTTTAAAGGTTTTTTAAGTCTTATATGTCGGAATATTTTAAAAATTCACCGGTTACCTACCCTTGATTGAAATTCAGCATGTTCAAAATGCTTAGGAAAAATATACTTTTGAATTGTAGTCTGTTTTATACCCGTGGTTGGAGGTAGAATTTATTTTGTGTGTATAAAAGAGTCTGGCGCAGGGGATTAATGGAGGTTAATCTGAGAATTTTTGTGGAAATCTGTAAGAAGAGGTTGTTCTCTAACTGAATCTTGCTTGGGAAAAATATGTGTTGGCTTTGTTTTAATACAGATTATGATATTGTGTGGAAGATACCCTCAAATTTGTAGGTAGGTTGAATTTCTCAGGAAATAATTTGTATCTAAGTAATACTATGACTTTTTCCAAACACATTTCGGATACACAAGAATACGATGAGTTTATTTATATAACAAAATGTTAATAATTATTGTGTTAATCACCTGCGCCGAAGCGATTTATATGAAACACTTCAAAAAATTATAAATGACCTTCACGTGATCAACAAAGTCATGTGATACCATAACAGATATGTTAATATATAGCCGAGGAAACCCTCTATATAAATTGGAAGTACTTAAGTTCAATACTTATATATCAAATCCCAAAACCGACCTCGCAATGACATATTATGTTTTGAGCGCGTTTACAAGCTTCGGGAAGCCTTAACATAGCTGTATGATTATAATAATTTAAAGATCAGTGATATCTGATATTCTTGAAATGTTCTACTCTGAGTGACAAAGGAGATTCCTTCTACATACGAGTTACGACTGTGATATTTTTAGATAATAAGTCTTACCGCTAATTGTTTAAATTAGCTCATTTGCATAGAATCATCAACACCCGGCCTTAACTCACTTGCCTACTGATATCGATGCTTAGTTAACAAAATATTATTCTTTGTGTTGTTGTCCTTGTGGAAATCTTTAGTCTTAGATATGCTAAATAATCTATAGCACTTACAATAATCATAATACAACTATAGAATCTTATATTAATCATATTTATGCTACACAAGAAATGAACAAAATATAAAACTGCTTCCAAATTTGATTTACTGACATGTTGTGCAGCCATTGAAGTCGAGTTAGATTTTATCAAAATGATGTCCTGTTTTCCCACACTTCACGGTATAAATAATACCTGTCTGCAAAACAATGAAATCTTTTAATATCGACTCTTAAATAAGTTGTCTATTTAATTTACATAATTCTTAAATCCATAAGACAAACTCTAGTATATTATCAAAACATGTTCTAGTATTGTAACAACAAGACATACTAATAACGACACAAACTGTTGTAAATTTTATTTATTACATTTTGCTTCGAGAAAAACACAAAATGTAATAATACAAACAAGAAGCCCATGGGCCACAATGCTCACCTGAGTAAATATGAACCTTCTTGTTCTTCATCAACAGATTCTTCTTCTTTTACATTCCTATGTAAAACTTTGATCGCTAGTTGTAGCCCCACCCAATCCCTGGATGTCATGATTGATTCTACACTACCTGTGGATGCTTCAATATAAACATTACTAATCAAGACTTTCACGTTCTAGAAAAAGATTTTTAAGGATTCCCACATGTATGCCTATTGTCCATTACCCTATACCCTACCTCCGAGGGTCATGATTTGAACATATTTGAATCTATATACATAACGTAAGAATGCTTCTACATCAGACTTATCATGACTTTGATGTTCCTATTAAAAGATTTTTAAAGATTTTTCGTATGTATTCCCAGATTAAATTTCGATTGCTTATTATGGACCCATCCTACACCCTACCCCGGGGGTCAAGCGGGTATTTTAAGGCTACACCTAGATATCCTACTTGTCTGTACAATATGACGTCATAGTAAGCTGTATGATGTGAACTTTAAAGATAATGATTTCTCAATATCTATATTTAAAGTTTAATTTTAGGTCCAAGAAATGAATGGAACCATTCAAAACATAAGGTAAACTAAATCTTGTCGTTTTTTTTTTTTTTTTTTTTTTTTTTTTTTTTTTTTTTTTTTTTTTGGTGGTGGTATAAATAGCTAAGCATTTATCACGGGGATTAAATACCAAACCCATGACGTCATAACGATTGATCAAATATTTGCCGAGTGAAAATTGAACGTGACGAGAATTCATGTAAACAAATACATGAAATGGGAGTTTTAAAGCATATACTGTGAATGTTATGTGTGATTCATAAGAAATTAAGGTCAAGATCTAGTAAATGAAAGGTGCCTTCAGATTTCTCAAATTTGAGAAACAAGTTCTTTCAACGATCCTTTACAAATATAGCTTGGCGAAATTAGGTGTATCGGGGCATAATTTTTAGATAAACTCAACGAAAAAAGATACTTTAAACCGTTATTTTCAATGAAAAATGAAGGAAGTCAGGTATAAATATGGATTTTTTTTTCCCTCTCAGAGAAAGAAAATATATCAATATTGCCTACAGTCTCTCAGAAAACAGTTTTTCATATCTTCTTGACCTCTTCTTTAAAATGATATTAATTTGAATATAGGTATCGGGGTTAATTTTGACATGATTTCAAATTGAATTCCATGAAAATGTTTCATTTTCTACATAATTCTATAATAGCCGTTAAGTACGGGAAAAATTAAGTTTAAATCAATTATGACGTCATAATGGATCTAGCACCAAAAAGACAGTCTAAACTCATTTACTAGATCTTGACCTTAAAGATTAAAAATCAGGTAAGCTGATTTATCCTTATCATGTTTACTTATATTGAAAACAGGCAGTGTTTTGAAATTCAGATCAGCCTTTCCTCTGTCGTTCTAACAACATAGATGCAAAAGTTCAACACTACACCGCATACTTTGAAACATATTTTTTGTCTGTATCAAAAACTTGTATTCTACATACACAGTACTTGGAAGGTGCTGCTAGAATCGTGTGGTGCATATGAATTGATGACAATTCCTTGATCGTATATACAAAATGTAGAAATTTTGGTAAGGTTTCATTCCAAACTTTGGAATAATTTTTTCTTTGTTTAGAGAGTAATATTCTAGCAGCACTTTTCATGACCCAGTGATGTTTTTACATAATTATTTTTACAAAAAGAAATGAATTGTCCCCGGGGTAGTGTTGAACTTTTCACTTTTTCCTTAAAGCAATTTTTCTATTTATAGGCGTCACGTGGAGTGCTTCTTTTAGTCTAAGACTCAATGACGTCTATACAATGGATAATAACAGTAAATGTTTTATCTTTGGCTTATCCGATGTATCCATGACACATTTTATGAAAAAAGTCTAAATTCGCCGAAATATGATCTGAATACTGCCTTAAATACCTGCGAATGATTTGAACAAATTTGAATCTACACTACCTGAGGATGGTGCTATTTATAAATATAACTGGTCATGGTTTTGCTGTTCTTGAGAACCAAATTTCCTATATTTAACCACTTAACCCGTTCTTTGCCTATAGTGGCCCCTCTCTGCCCTTAGGGGTCATGGTTTAAACAAAATTGAATCTACTCTACCTGAGGATGTTTTCATACAAAAATGACTGTTCATGGCTTTGCTGTTCTTAAGAAGATTTATAAAGTTTTTCCTACTATGTACCCATGTAAAACTTTGTTCACCCATAGTGGCCCCATCCTATCCCTGAGGGTCATGATTTGAACAATCTGACACTGGCCCAGTGATTCTGGAGAAGAAGATGAAATTGTAAAAATTTAACGACGACGCCGACGACAAAGACAGCAGCAACAGACAACGTACAAATTTTGATCAGTCAATCTCACTTGAGCCTTTGACTCAGGTGAGCGTCAAATTAATAACCAATTTTTTGGTCAAATATTCACAAATATCAGTTGGTTTAAAATATTCAAATATAACGTTTTCGGGCGTTTTACATTTGCGTTGAAACAATGCATTTTTGACATATTTAATATCTGGCATACATATATACAAAATTAAAGTTAGAAGTGAAGTTTCACAAGTATAAACTATGTCAGTTTAAAATGTTAATTAGACTCTATTGAATACCTTTATATTGCCAGGTATACTGCTCCAAAGTTGATAATTAGGAATCACGTGTCTCCCGCTCTGCTTTCTAACAAACTTCTGTATTAGGACCCCAACCAATATATACAGCAATAAAACGGAGACAAATCTGAAGGAGAAGGGCTGGCTTACTTATAAATTAACTAATGGGTAGATTATTCTGTCGATTGATCGAAATATTGATCGATCAAGTGATTAATTATACTTCTCTACTTACTTTTAATAAAAAGAGTCATTGACATTTTGTTTATGCCTTGCTAGTTGAACAAGCAATTTGAATATTTTCATAAAATTTTATTTAAAAATTGTGTTCCTTACTAAGATTTCTTTTGTTGATATCTTTTTTAAAAAATATATATGAATCAATACACATGTTTACAATTAAAAGATGGAAAGAAATTTTTTTAATGAGAAAAGTCATAATGGATAAATAAATTTAACATAATATAACTCTATTTACGGAAGCCTGTTGAGGCCAGTTGAAAGAAAGAAATATTTTCATTGCGTTTAAACGCAAAACTTTGCGTTTATTTGCAATAATCATTGCGTTTAAACGCAAAAGATTGTGTTTAATCGCGATGTATATTGCGTTTAAACGCAAAACAATTTGCGTTTAATCGCAAAAAATTGCGATTAAACGCAATCTTTTGCGTTTAAATGCAATAATTTTGCGATTAAACGAAATACTTTTTGCGTTTAAACGCAATAATATTTTTGCGTTTAAACGCAATAATCTTTGCGTTTAAATGCAATAATCCTTCCTTTTAAGGATACGTTTTGCATTTAAACATAATGATACTGTAGTTTCAGAAATAGACATCAATAAGCCAAAGCTTATGATTACTAGGATCAGACACTTCAAAGAACCGTTTGGTTCTGTGTCTTTTTGCAGAATTTTCCAGTATGTGAAAACTGTAGTAAAACAATGGCATCCTAACAACCAAAATGTCTTAAACGTATTAGAACCCAACACTCTTAATGAAGCCTTTGATCAATTGCTTACGTATCACAATTAATTAAGAACGTTTTAGTGGTATTGATAAAATCTTGTCAATTTGGTAGTACACATCGATCAATCTGTTTTCGTTTGATTTTGATCTCAAATGATTCCATCATCTATATTCTTGTGTCTACTGTATACAACCGTAGGAAAGGCTGTGAATATACATTTAAGTGTTAAATACTTCATGAACGTAATTCCAACAATTCATTAGTCTTTTCCCGAACCTATTTATACACGAGTTAAACTTCGTGACCGCAACTTTGGGGATAGTTTTTTAATCATTTTTTTCTTCTTTAATCTTTTATTTAGAAGATCCATTTTAATTGTTTGCAGAAATTGTTTCAAAGTAGAAAAAAGATTTATGATTGTAAGCAACTGACCAAATATTCATTAAGAATATAGCGATACAAAGACATGTTTCGTTCTTTGGTTGTCTTTGTTTTTACAACACGACATTTTTTTTCTCCTCTATAAATTCACATCAGTGATTTATCCTTTCAGAGAGCGTTTGCTCGGAGGAATCTGATTCTATAAAGCTAGACATTACGAAATTTCCTTATAAGTGAAAAAGAGAAAGAAATATATCAGTTTACGTGGGTCCGTTGTATTTTGCAAGATTTGATACAAATAATTGTCTTTAATCACAAAGATTCTTGCGTTTAAACACAAAGATTATTGCGTTCAATCGCAAAATTATTGCGTTTAAACGCAAAAATTATTGCGTTTAATCGCAAAAGTATTGCATTCAATCGCAAAATTATTGCGTTTAAACGCAATAATCATTGCGTTTAAGAATAAAAAATATTTCTTTCTCTGAACTGGCCTCAACGGGCTTCCGTACCTATTAAACAGCAGCAAGTTTTATTGCTGAAAACACTATTGAGCATGCATATATTTTTTTTAAAAAGCTGAAAATTATATTTTTTAGCAAAAATATCAGTGGTGAAGAAACTTTATTGCACATCATTTTGGTTTTTTTTTTTAACCGGATGATGCATTGTTATATCAGTGTATTGTAAAAGGATGATGAAATTCCTTTTTTGCTTTAATTCTTTCGATATTTATATAAAATGAATACTTATCCATAAAATAGATACCTGATAGGAGTGAATGATTTTTTAATCATTATTTGGATTCCTCTACTTGTAGAAATAATTAACATTTAGTTCAACTATATACAGTACTTGACCAAAGGAAATGACGTTCATTTTAACTTTTTTTAACTTACCCAATGAGAATGATCGTACCAACTGATAACTTGGAGGAGCTATTATTACAGGCCAGTTTTGTTGACAGGTTTATTTCCTGATAAGAAAATAATAAATACAGCAATTTTTTTTTTCATTTTAAAAAAGGATGGTTGCTTGGTTTCACAAATAAAAAAGATTAGTTTTCAAACATAAAAGTTACTGTTTCATAATTTTGTTTCCTATTTCAAAATTAACATTAAGGCATACTTAATGTTAAATTTCTGCAATTTGCTACATTCTAACAAGTATAATTGATATTATTCCTCTATAAAACATTATGCACGCGTCAAAAAGGGCAAAATTGATACTTTATTTATAACTTTCATTTTTTCCATATAATGGGGTCTTCGCTCCCTTTTTGATGAAAAGTATGAAAATTATCTTCAATGGATAAAAATAGACATTTTCGAGATCACAAATATATATATAACAAAAACATGGAGTAAGGACCGTCACCCGCTTTACCTTAAAAATACACTTCTACATGTGTGACAACACTTTTTTTTGAGAAAATATATCAGTCTAGTTAGCCGTAGTATATTAATAACACTTGTGAGTTGTGTAGTCTTGTAGTTAACGTGTGAGTCTCTAGACCAACTTAAAAGAAAAACTGACACTCCGGATTTTTATTGTTTCTTCTCAAACCCGGATTTTCATTGCTTCGTTTCTTTTCAAACCCCAAGAAAACCACTTATTATTTGTTATTTTATTTATTATTTATTTATTTATTAATATTTTACAATAAAATAATATTTGCAGAGAGAATTTTCTGGGGAATAGTTTTGTTTGTCATCATTTCATGCCTTTCAATAATAAGAAAATTGATCTAGATACTTGTTTCACAGATTCAATTTTATTTTTATACACCTGAGGCATTGAGGACTTCTCATACCTTGTTTACCCTTGTTTTTCTCTTTGAACTTATCACAAAAAATACAAAACATATGGCTAACAATAATATCTGGTACTTTTCTATTAAAATAATGACGTACAAAATTTATATATTAGAGTATTTTTGGCAATATAATCACAAACAGAGTCACATGGGCAAGAATGCTCACCTGAGTCACTTTGCCCAAGTTGATTTTTTTTAAATATCTGTTTAATTTTATTTTAAAAAAATTTGATTGCATGTTCTTGACAAAAATCTAGACTTATAGAAGTTACAATTTATTCAAAGATAAATCAATACAACGTTGGGATACTTCAATTTCAATACGATCAATTTGGTCCTGCTGTTTTAGAGATTTTTTGCTACACATAGGCATTATGTGAAATTTGAAACTCATTCGTCTCAACTTAACCATAGGGCTCATAAAAATGAAGGGAAAAAAAATTGCTATACATACATCATATGTATGTTTTGATTTTAAATATGATTTAGTGTGATCTTGCAACTCCTTTTGAAGTTTTAGTCCTGTGTTCTCCCTGGTCCACCTCTGATCCACTATTGTAGTCTCCACCTATTCTTAAAGGCCCTGATCTGAATCTTAGCTACATGTACTTGAAGATGTTTGCATACCAATATACCTTATCATGATTTAGCTGATCATTAAAGAAAAATATTAGGGATTTCTCTTATATTTTCCTATGTAAAAAACTTTGATCTCCTATTATGGTTTCACACTACCCCCAAGGGGTCATATTTTGAACAAACTTGAATCTACACTCGCTGAGGATGCAATCATATAGATATGAATGTTTACATACATATAAATATATAAATATGGCTTGGTGTTCTTTACAGGAAGATTTTTTTCCGATATATTCCATAAATCTTTGTCTATTTTGACCCCATTATAGCACAGGAATCATGATTTGAACCTATTTGTATCTACACTTTCTCATGATGCTTCAATATAAATAAATATGCTGTTCCTGAGAATAAGATTTTTTAAAATGTACACTATTTCCCCTAAATATTCAAATGTATTAACCCTAGCTCTGGGAAGTCGTGATTTGATCAAACTTGAATTAACACTAGTACTTCGGTACTAACTTGAAAATACGGATATATATTAAACTGCAGTGGTAAAATTTAGAAATTTATTTCAAAATTAACGATTATCTCCCTCATGCATAGCTCTGATCCTTCAACGTATTTGGCTCCAGTGTTTGGCACTTTTTTCAGCTCCTCCAAGTCTTTTTTTAAAAAATATTATGGATTTCCAACTTTTCGGCTTGAGCATTACTGATGAGACATAATTTGTCGAAAATGCACATCTGGTGCATCAAAATTAGTACCCTATATGATTTACATAGTCTAACTGTGGATGCTTTAATATAGATATGACTACAATGTAACATGGCTTTGCTATTCTTAGGACAAAGATGTTTAAAGATTTTTCCCAATAAATTCCTATGTAAATCTTTGATTCCCTGATGAAGCGTTACCCTAACACTGAGAGTCATGATTTGAACGAATCTGAATCTGCATTACATGAGGATGCTTTTATTCAAATATGATTAATCAGAGTTTTGATTATTTTCGTATATATTCCCATGTAGAATTTGATAATTTTGTAGCCTTACTTTCACCATGGGGGTATTGATTTCAATAAACTTGAATCTCCACTGTGTATTGAAAGATTCATTTTTTCTAGCCCAATTGATTTTGAGAGGAAGATTTTTGAACGATCCATTAAAATTTTACCATTTCATTTGGACAAACTTAAATTTTCTTCACCTAAGGACCCTTTTTTTTTTTAAATTTGTTTGAATTTGGTCAAGTGGTTCTTGGGAATGCAACGAAAATATTAAAATGTTTTAGACAACACAACAACAGATGGACGTCAGAGGCTCTTCGATAAAAAAAACTCACTTGAGCCTTGAACTCAGGTGATCTGAAAAATTAAATAAAGTTTCAATAATCTTACATATGGACCTCCGGTGCTCCCCTTCGGTTCAAAACTTCCTAATGTACCGTCATTACAAGAAATGTGAACAACTGATGAAGTCCTAAAAATGTATACAAATATTATATATTACATGTATTGATAACAACTATTATCATAAATCTTTTCACAGTACTTTAAAAGCCCATTTTCTCTTAATGTTCTTTATTTTTATAATTTTAGTCACCATCTCAATGATATATTTACATATAATTCTGTTTAATGATGCAGGGGCCCATTGCATAAAACATAAAATTTAATATTTAAACCCACTGTTATACACATTTGAGATTTTAATAATGTATTCATGCATGGTATGTACTCTTACATGTACATATATATGAAGTACAAATGTACACTATTTTCTCCATCACCAGGTAATATTTGCATGAGATTCCGCTCATTCCAAAGCTACGAATTCATCTTGGTGAGATGTGAAGAAATATACAAATGTACTTACCCGCCATCTCCGTCCGAATAATGCATATCTATGAAGTCACCGTTAACGGAGAATGTGGTTGAATTTTGGGAGCCCAAAGATTTGTATTGTTCTATTGGTCCACTGATGGTTATAAGACATAACTGAAAGTATATTGATGCGTTTATTTATTTTTCTATGTTGATAAATATGACTTTTCGATACAATTTCAATGTCTTAGCATGTATATAATGCTTGATAATTGAGAATATTTATAAAGCACTATTGTTTCTTGAACGTAAGTTATAAGTAAATAGACTTGAATAATTTAATACAGCACTGGGTTTTTTTAATGCGCAGAATTATGCACTTTTTTTAAATAGTTTTGACTATTGTCCACGATCATTATATTGTATAATGCAATTTCAGAGTAGGATATTTCTCTGTTGTCCTAAAATTCAGAAAAAATCATAGATATTACTATTTATTTTAAACACAGGCAAGGTCCAGAAGGAATGAAAACAATGGCACCACGAAAAGTAATAGCATCTTCTTGGGCCTTTCCGACAAGTGGAATATTGCTTAAAAGACCCGAACATTTGTGAATTAATTTAGATAGACAAGCTAATGACGTTATTTGAATCTGGCCTCGAAATTAACCTGGATTAAGGCCTGTAAGTTAGAAAACTCATCGCAGCCGACAAAAGAGCAAATAAGCTGCTCAATGTGATGCATAGGCACTGTGGTAAGAAGCTAGGTCGTTAAAGTCGACACTTTCGTTTTAGAATGAAGAACTGGAGATTGAAGAGCTGGGCTTTTTAAAGTAGAAAAATCATATTTTTAATCATGTTGACAGCCATAACCGACGACCTATGGTTTGAAAGCGAGCGAAAGAGCATAATCAGAAAAAAATATTCCTTCGTAGAGGTAATGTTATATGTATGCTAGAGTCTAATATTCATTTATCTCGGCTTCTTCATCATATTCTTTACAGTTTGACATTTCGTCATCTTTTGTTACGTCTCCCACTTGTCCCATGTTCTACATATGTACGATAAATTTCTAAACTAAGGCAGTCGGCGGATAATAAGCTGAGGTAACAGGACCGGGGTATCAGCAATCTTATTTAAAGTCAACATTTCTCAAATCTTCTGGTCGTTATAATGACTTTCTTTGCAAATGCAATCTAACTTCGGGTCGAATACTGACTGGCGTTTTTCATACAATTTGTTAGGTCGTTGTTTTCATACAAAAAAAAAAAGAACCGTATCAGGTAAATAGTCTTGTATATGTTTGTATTATGTGTCGGTTTGGTATTTTTAAGGTTCAACAAGAGAATCATCTACTCCATTTTCTAATCGGACAATACTCAATTTGCTGCACAACATTTTTCTGTTGTTGCCCTTCAGGACCCCCATGTTTTTTTCTGTTCTACTCAATATAGCCATGTCTATATTTGTTAAAAAAATCAATTAACAATTGAACTTAAAAATATTATATACTTATATATAAACAGCCTTAAATATGTTAACCTACTCACCGCAACTTCACTGCAGGATCCTGTTCCCTCAGTAAAACCACTGCATGGATTGAAGGAATACAGTTCATTATTGGAACCAGGTTTTGCGACGTCCTGAAAACTTATAATAAAAATAACAGAGAGCTGAAAACTTGAAAATGTGTTAATAAAGTTATAATAATGTATCTTTATGTATATTTTAAAACTATTGAATTAATTTTACACAGTCAATTTAAACCTTCATTTAGCAAGCTTAGGGGAAATTCCAAAATGGACGAATATGAAAGGTCACTAGTCTCTTAAAGCAGGGAATCATATATATATTCTATTAATTTTCGACGTACATGTACATGCAAAAAAAAATAATCAACACTGTACTCCTAAAATTATCACTTCTCATTAGTAGTACACACAGGCACTTAATTAATGCTACTTTTTTTTTAAATAAAAAAAATATATACCCCTTACCTAATAATTCATTAGGTAGGGGATATGATTTTTTTTTTTTATTAAAAGAAAAATAAGTAACGTCAGGTGCCTGTGGTAGTACATTATTCATCAATATACATAATATGTATACATAACAAAGAGCTGGGTACGTTAAGACCGATTTACGGCCCTGTAAAATCGGCAAAAATTAAACGTACGATTACATTCTATCAATTGTATCAATTAAGTGTTAAGGTTTCCCTGTGTGTGAAATGGGAACATTTTTTTCTCAACTCACGTGCCCTTTCATTTATATAACGTTCAAAACCGGTCTAATATTCCGGAATTCCCCCATTTTGGACGTTTTCCTCCTCTTCAAGTCTATATTTCGATATGGCCGCATCCGAGTATGTATGCGAAACTTTGCAGAAAGAACAAATACACAACGATTTTTAATATTAAAGAGAAAAAATGACCTTACAAACGTGCGGCCACATCCGTTTTACAAAAAAATTGAAGTAAAAAAATGCTGCATTTTTGGATAGACGTCACCTTTTCTCCACAATAAAATCTATATTTTTAAAGAAATTAATTGTTTAATTCTATATCTGAAGGCTTCATTATTTTTATTGTCTTTTAAATTCAATTCTGAAAAAAAAATTAATTTAATACAATTATTTATGCAAATGAAAACCATATGAACCTTTCTCTGTGAAATTTACTATGGGACATTACATGTAAATTAGTGACGCAATGCATTGAATAAAATGACGTCACAAAGAGCAATCATGTTGAAAATATGTACTTGAAACAAATTCTTCATTCTTCGCAACTGTGATAAATATTCAATCAATATTTACAACGTGAAAAAGTAATTTAACGACATAAGTTGGGATGGTTCAGACAATCAATTTACATTTAACACTACATGTACCTCCAATTAAAACGTGCGTCTCCTTCATAGTGGACATTGACTTTATTTGACTTCAAGAAAAGATTATGTTTAACATTTTTATTGAAAATCATCAGCTTTCTTAAGTATGTTTTATTCGTTTTGAATTTATATATGTCTGGGATTCATGAATGTCAAAAGACAATAGCTAATGACTGGGGCGGGGAAAGGGGGAGGTAGATGGGAAGCTTGGCGTATAGCAGTCACCATTTGAACATTTCTTTTCAAAACTTGTTATCCTTGTCACTGTATTGTTGCAAATTTTTATTTGACAAAATTAATTGTCAGAAAGGATTCTAGTGTTTTATCGCATAATCAGGAAGTGTTTTATATGACTAAACACTTCTAAATCTGCCACTGCCGACCTACATTTACTTATTGAAGGTCAGCAGTTGGGAATAGAAAAGTTCTTACATGTATTTACACTTATCAATTATATATACATTTATCTTGCTGATCGGAATATTGACATCAGTGTTTTCAAGTAAAATCGGGTTTAATTTATAATTTACAAGGAATTTGAGATAATTATGTTGACCAAGTTTATAAGGCTTTAAAAAGGTATACAGTGGTGTACTCTTTCGGCATTTTCTACGAAAATTTATGTGAAACATGATACAATCAACCTTTTTCATTGTCTATAAATAAAGATTATCTGTTCCCAGTTCTGTAAGAAATACAAACACGATCTTGCATTACTTGTGGACAAGACACCCCCCTTTCCGCTCCATAATCGATGATTTAACTCGTTAATTTTTTTTCAGAAATTGTTTTCCTAATATATTTTTAACGCATTCCAAGTCTTGAAATGAAAAAAAAAATTACTCTATAGATATTTATCTGTATAAAAAACGAATGTACATATTAACTACATGTACACTATTGTTAATCTTGAAGTAAGCGAGTATTTTTAAAAGGATTTTATCCAGATTATCCATGAAATAATAGTAATATATTTCATATAGGAAAGATGTTTAGTATTCCAATAGATGTTCATCGGGGCTAGAGGAGCGTCCTGTCCAATATCACCTCTGTGAAAACGGCCGTGCACATTATCGCTAAATTTTAAAGATTCAACGTCCGTCTATGATGATAATCCGTTCCAGAAAAAAAAGGAAATTAAAAGTATTTTATCGTTACTATAAGGACAAATGCACAGAATTGCGAAGGAAATGCCCCAGAGAGTTAATGTACATGTATTCAAAGGAAGTGATAAAATTATCATTGTCACCGAAATATATTAAATATTTTACCTACGGTTGTGTAACATGTAAAACATAGGGAGGAGTTCTAAAGATGAAATACGTATATGGAGATAACGAGCAGTATTCAAGCTCGAAAGTCCATTAAACAATACAAAATAGGAGCAGAGCAAACAAGGACCTAGAAAATCTGTATCTATTTTAATGCAGTTTTTGTCTTAGTAGATGACTAGATGTATCGTCTCGCAATTCATGTCAGCAGTTTGTTAGGTATATTTTTAAAGATTTTTTTTTATCAGACACTAACATGTAAAAGAAACATAATCAAGCTAGTATTAAAATCCGGGAATGGCAAGGATAACAGAAGTAATGTGACGTGTTTTGCGTATTATTCCCACAAGTAACAAAATAACATCAGATTTCGTATAATTTGATAACTGAACTATAGAAATAAAATCTATATGTAGCTTATAAAAAGGGACGTATACGTAAAAGTCAATTTTGATTCTTCTATGTGAGTGTTCTGTTATTCTGCATTTCGATTATTTGTATTTTGTCTCTATGTAAATAGAAGTGGGGGGGGGGGGAGGGAGGGGGTTACTGATAATCAAGTTATACATGTACTGTAATGAGTACCAATCAAGAATTTGATTTAAAACTAAATACATCCCTTTCAAATTTCCCTTGGCTCCCCAATCGACGGTGACCGTTAATCAATCTTTTACTGATCGATATCAATGCAAGCGTGTGCCTTTTCATGCTGCATTGCTTTGAATTTTCATAGCTGACGTGGATAAACTCTATATATGTAAATCATACACATAATATTACATCCTTATTTTTTCATAACTTTTAGTTTTAGGGAATTATGCCCGTTAGAGTGTACTACAAGCTTCTGAATCCCTTCCCGAGAATTCGTGTGCATTTCTTGTCGAATTCACTACACAGATTTAGGCATATAATTTTCGATTTTGTTAATCAAATAATGAGTATGTACATGCATAGTACTGTGTCTCTAAATTATTAGCATTGGCTATATAAAATATTTTGTTCATCGAAAAGTGGATCTAAACAAATCGCACACCCTTTTTCTTAAGCCTTCGGAGATTCACGGTTTTTATTTGAAGCAAAATTTTTCAAGGTCTGTAACGCAAGTTATGACAAGGCCATTACAAGTTTTTTTTTCTATGTGCAGTGTACGCGGACGAATTGGTTTTGAGATTATTAAATTAAAAACAAACACAAATTAAAATTGATAAATACAAAGCTTTGAAACACAAAGTTAACTCAAATTAAAATCAACACATACGAATCTCTGAAATACATTTTACTCTTTTGGGATTGACATCTCTCTTTTTTAAGTGGTGTATTATTTTTTTTATTTCAATAAACTAGTAGTTTAACTAAGTTTTATGGCGAGGAGAGGTCTCAAATGATAATAAGAAATTCTAGGACTGTTCTGAAAATGCTACGTTTTTCCACTTTTGATTTGTGTGTTTTCTCAGATATGAAGATAGGTTTTCGAATTTCGGATGGACGCTAAACAAAGAAAAAAACTTGGAATGGCCTTATCAATTAGGACTCTTATAACCGGTCTCATCTTGTGGTTTTAACATAGAAAGTGATTATGTGTAGGTATATATATTGGGGATTATTCCTGGAAAGTGTATTTTACATGAACCATGCAGTAAAGTGGATCCACTGGAATGAATAAATAACTATCTATAAGAAATCCTAACATCAAAGAAAAAAAATTTAACGCAGTTTAAGACACCTCGTAACCCCGTAATAGTGAGTAATTTATACGTTTACCCCCCCCCCCCCCAAAAAAAAAAGTAGAAAATAAGAAATTAATAGCGCTGCCATTTGTTGTTAAAAAGGGGAGTGGTGTTGATGTCTTTTTCATTGCCAAAAATCCAATTTTGAGTACTTTATATGGGACGTTCCAATTTTCTTTTTAATATTGATTCATGTATCTTTAAAAATTTTAATGTAACTTCATATATAGACAATGCGGAAAATGATTGAAGAAATCATTTTTACATAAAGAAATGATAAATTTGATACGAGCACAATTTTAAAAGAAGTAGTACCTTGTCTCGTCTGTATGGATGAATCAAGCTTCATTACTTGTCTGATGAAATCGTTTGTAATAAAATTATATTTTCCTTTAAATTATTATACTCCTTCCAGCTATCAAAGATACATTACGATGAATTGAAATAAAAGTTCAAAATTGTTTTCTTGAACATAAGGCAGGTTAAAGTAAATAGTTTCCAGTTCAGAGAATTTACAGATTTCTTTTAACGTAACGTTAAAATCAGTAACGCTGTGATGACGTTATCACGTCAAAATTTGTAATTTTTAAAGAAAACTCCCCACTTTTCGAGACCTCTGATGGAAAAACGGTTTGTGATAATTAAAAAAAATAAAATGATTTTGAAAAGACACACCGTAGGCATGTTTGTAAAAAAACTGAAATCAAATTTGGAGACAGGGCCGCTCTGTTATACTTAACGTACGCAGTTCTTTCAAATAGATATACATGCAGTAATATTAAAAAATAAAAAAAAACTCGCCCCAGTTTTTAAGCAAATTAGGATGAGAATCTGAACTGAGTTTAATTTGTATGTGCATGGCCTTATGTTATCGAAGTACTCTTACCATATTTACATGTATTAGTTGATAGTCATGGTTTCCTTGGGGTGAAAAATTTTCATTGTTTTGCACCTCGGGGAACACTGTTTTGCACCTCGGGAAATATCAAATTTATGGTTCCCCTCGGCAGGAAACTATTTCCCTCGGCGGCTTCGCCACCTCGGGAAATAGTTTCCTCCCTCGGGGAACCATAAATTTGCTATTTCCCTCATTGTATACTATAGACCGACGTGACGTCATTTGGGCTAAAACGAGTGATAAAATAAACAAAATAAATAGAAGAGGTACACCTCGTAGCTGTATAGGAAGAGCAACTTTGGCCATTTAACGATTTGAAGACGGAATAAAACATTCTCTTTGATTAAGCTGTGCCGGTGTAACGTAGTTTTGACCTGGGTTGAAAGTTAACCTGGGGGACCATTTTACCTACAGTCTTTCCATTTCTTTTCTGTGATAAAATCATGCAATGATTTGATTTAAATGCACTGGAAATCATACCAGCTTGAGAAAAAGATACATGTAGAAATGCAATGTATGTACGTTTAAAAATTTACGGTTTCCACCAATTGACATTATTCGAAAAATTAATGGCATAAAACGCAATTAAAACCGCAAATGACATTTTCCTTGTTCCCATAGTATATATAGTTTTTAAGTCTTAATTTGATTCTGTATATATATAATATTCATTTAAAATTTTATTATATGGGTGTAATAAAATTACCTTATATTATCCGACGAAAACATGCTTTTTGGTCGTGCGCCGTTACATGTAGGGACGCCAGCGCACATACAAGTGTAAAATTTGCTTATAGAATGTCAAATCTTAGAGCGCTTAGAACTAGATACGGTCTTATGTCTAAGAATTTAAACATGTAAGTCATACTTAAGCATTATCTTGGACTTAAGTACCCTTTACGTTACGACCATCTGGTGAATAATATTAACAAAATTTGTTACCCCTTTGTAATCGAAAACCAAGAAATTCTACAAATTTAAGTATATTTTGAGATTAAAGAATGTTATATATTCTGTCCGGGATATTCCTATTATTTCTGATGAAATCACAGGCACGTAGTATCGGATGGGGGGGGGGGGGACTCCTCCTTTTCCGAACCTAATCCTTTGCTGTTAATATTAATTTAGAATGAAAATATTCATTCAAAGACCCCCCCCCCCGCATTTTCTGCTGAGGTATAGTAAAAACATCCCCTACCCCCCCCCCCCAAGAAAAGTTGATAGAATAATTCCGATTTGTAGACTTAAAATGCATGGTTATATAATTTTAAACCAAATTAAACAAGAACAAAGACACTGAGAGATTTAGAAGGGGCGTTGGGGCGCATCCCCTCTTCCCACCTACAATTTCCAAAAATCATGTACATATTATTTGTGTATATATATATTTAGGGAAAAAACTGTCATGATATTAAAATAAGTATTATTAAAATACGTTAAAATTTGAAATTGATAATTTTATATAAAAAAAGTTATTTAAATAAGAAATATATAAATTTAGAAAAGAAAGAAAGAAGAAGCTTTTGACACTCTTGCAAAAGCAGCATTACATGGAAAGTGATTTCCTTAAACATCTATTTACACAAAACAGATCTGCCATCGGTTTTTGATACTATAAAATTCTAAAGACAATAACCCACAAAAGATGTCGACATTTTTGTATCAGAAATTCTTTTAACTTCGGAAAGTGAAGAAGAATGCATTGATTTTGTTTACGCGTGAAAATTGCAATCGTGGATCGGCAAGAATTAAATGCATTTTCTCTTCAATTGCTGATCAAGATACATATACAGTGTAACTTGAAGAATTTCTTGGAGAAAGTGACAATATCAGTAGTGAAAAGTCTTGAGAATGTTTAGCATAAACTACTCTGAGATGAGCCGTTTTAGGAAATCAAGTCCAAAAATGGCTCAAAAATTGCATGATTGTGTAGCTCTATGACCTGACGTCTTTTTTCCGTTAATTGTATACATGTATATCAGAAAGCAGTTTAGTTTGAATGTTTTTACATTTATAAGATATCGGAATAAAGATAAAAATAAGTATATACGAAACGTCCGAGTAAAATTATACTCATTATGATTTTAATTTTGTTATTCGAAAGTTTCACAGTTTTATGAAATTTAAAGACGCTGTAGATAATTTATGTGACTGTATTATTTTCATTTTCCTCGTCATTTGCACAGAAAAATCGTCGTGACACAGAAATCATGCACTTTTTAGTTAACATTCCCTAAAATCATTTGCAAGTCTATTGAAAAACTATAAAATGGAGTAGACATACACTAATGCAAGAAGTGTCATGTCACACGCGATAAAAAAAAGGGGGGGGGTGATTAAAGAGTGTGTGTGAAAAGATGAAAGACAGGGTAGTGATTTAATTACAAGAAATTAAATCACAGCTCATAGACGGGCAAAGAAGATTGACCCCCCCCCCAAATTCCTGGATCAAGCCCTGAAAAAACTATTATATAGAAAAATATCACGTAACAATATGTACATGTATATATGTACATGTATATATTATCTCGTACATGTAATTCCGAGAAAACCTCTCGTAATTACGAGATATGTTTTAATAATAACTTCGTGCAGCTTACTTTATATTCATTCTCCATTCTATGGGAGTACATGTACATGTAGTTTAAAAATCTCAGAGTTTATGCCAAATATAAACAGGCGGTGACAATAATTATTATATAATATTGAGACATACACAGTGGTTTTCCTGAGATTTTGTCATGTGATCGGAACATTTCAAAAACATTAGATCCGCTCCTAAAACCTCTACATATGCATGTATTAATAATATATACCTACTATGGTGTTTGATCATTCCTAGATACAGAAGAAAGATCCACTACAAATCCGTCGTCCATCTTGCAAGAACACGGACTAACTTTTGTACAAGATTTCCCTATGACACCATTAAGAATCATTTCAAACAAAATGAAAAGACTAAAAAAAAATCTGCTCCAATGGTCCGCCATGATTTAAGTGATAGCGTTATTATTCATGGTCTGATAAAACTAAGATGCTAGTTTTACACTTAATCAGGGTAAACTAATACGTACTGATAATGTATCGGGGATTGTACACGTATGTATGGATATACTTCAATGGTGCAAGGTTGAAAAATCAATAGCCTTTCTTTTTTATATTTACACAATTTATTTTATTTCATTTATTGATTTATCCAGCAAAAATTCGATTTTTTAAACAAAATTTGGTGCTTTATATTATACAGCTTGTACGTTAGTCACAGGAAAGCATTCCCTATGTTTTTCAAATTGAAAAATAAATATTTTGCTGTTTATTCAATTATAAAAATGTTCATTAAAAGGCTGGTTGCCCCCCCCCCCTTCCCCTCACTTTTTTGTAGTGTAGTGAAATCTGGTCATGTTAATGTTAAGAAAAAAATTTCTTTGGTAAAAAAAAAGTTTGAAGTCCCACTTACAGTGCAACTACTAGGTTAAACACTTTAATCTTTATCATATTTTATCAGATGTAATCATGGCAATAAATATAGCCTGATTTTACGTAAAATAGTTTAAATAATATCATGTATCATGGAACAAATCATACAAATTAATGCGCATAAATTCTTGTATGACATTTTTGCACTAAAAAAGGTATCAAAGTGTATTAAAAATCTAAACAGGCAATAAAATATATATTTTCTTGTATCAAACCTTTAATGACTTTAGTGCTGATTGGTTGGAAGTAGCCTGTAGTTTAAAATAATGAAAGAGAAAGTTGGGGTCAGTGATGTAAATTTTGAGATATTGGTCAAAATATGGGATTTTCAGGCAAAAAAAAAAAGTGTAAATTTTTTATATACATATTCATTTCTTGGCAAAGTCTGTTGAGTGAATGTGTAAAATTTCTTCTGAAAATAAACACTGAATCCTATATATTTTTTAATATTCCAAGCATATAATAACGGAAAATATTCTCTGAGAAAAAATATATGGGTATAAAGTTCCAAGATATTAAATGCAACAAATGTGCCGATTTTAACAGTTTTCTTCTAAATATCCTTCCACCACAAAAACAATAGTTCCCCATAGTTTCTTTGTGACTCTGTGAGCAGTTTTTAAATCAAATGTTGGGGTGGGGTTTCTCGAAGCAAAAGCGAAAGAGGTTCTGGGAAAGGTACCCTCATCCCGAGGCCAGAAAATTTGTTTTAAATTGGAAGCACTTTGGTTGGCTCTTGTGCAATTTGCAATCTGGCATGGTCGTCATCTACTCAAATGTTAAATAAAATCCAATATGAATTTATTATGTTTCAAAAATAGTTATTTTAACAATCCCTCTTCCAATGGTCTTGAGACAAGTGCATACTTTTCTCCTTAATGGGATACAGTGAATGAAGGCTATCATTACTGAAACAGAATTTTGTGTGATGAAGCTACATGTACATATATAAAGAAAACCAAAATAGTTCAAAGATTTTTGACGTTTTATTAAATTAATTAATAAAAATAACTAACACATATACAAGCTATTGAATTATTAGAATTGACCTCAATTACTAGTACACAATGCTTTTTAAATACACGAATTGGCTTCATTTACCTCCCTCTTATTCTTAACATATATTTCATTTCTGTCTTTAGTTCTGCGATGCCAGTACAGTAGAGAATTGGATGAACAACAGAACCTAGTTTGTATGCAATGGCTGCAAATGTTTTTACACCAGGAGATTCAGCATCAGCAAAGTTTACAATCGTGACTGGAAATGTAGAAATAATTAATGTTGAAATAATTACACCAACCAGTTTCAGTGATTGTTGCAATCTTTTTCTTTTCATGTTGAGGATTCCTTGCTGAACGATAGTCGATGAAGAAGAATCGCCGTTAGATATTCCCCTGTACCGTTTGTGAATTTAACCTTGTATAAATTAAGCACTTAAGTAAAATATAACAGTGAAAAACACTAATACCATGTTAAGAGAGAAAAACATTTTGCGAAATATGTATGAATTTTCACCGAATACAGAAATTAATACGCACGTCGAAGAAGGTTGTTTTAATGAAATAAACGATCCTACATAGATGGCTGCAGCGGCCCAGCTAATTGCAAGAACAACATAACTGCGCTTACCATTCCATACCAACGTATTTAAGCTGTTTTCAGCTAGAACAAGGTAACGATTTAAACTAATAAAAAACACCTGCAGAAAAGACATTTGCAATGCGACAAACAGTAGATAAACTACCAAAGCACACAAAATGCAAGAACTAATGTTTGAACAATATTCATATTTTTTTATACGTAGAACTCCACGCATAAAAAGAGAAATTCCAAGCACAAAATCGCTTGTCGCCAGAGATATGACTAAATTGTACTGAATATTGTTTCTCAGTTTGCTGTTTCTTCTGGCAGCAAGAAGAATAAGGATATTTGACGCAACAGTTGCAATAGCCACCGATATGTTGATAACGGCTCCAAATAGCCAAGAGGTGACGCTATCAGGGGGACTTCCGGTATTCAAAACCGTTGTTCTATTAGGATACTCTAGCCGCATGTGTGCTGTTGTATACATGTGCGTAAAATTCCAAAAAAGAAAATATTTTCAGACTGTACTTATGTTAACCCTAAAGCTCTTTTCTTTTCAATTTCTGCAAAAAAAGTGTAAAATCATTATGTTAAACAAGAGCAAAGTTCAATTGAATTCGATGTGCTATGGCATATAGACATTTTTTAGCTAGGTCTTCTGTAGTAGGTGGGAGAGAGAAAGAGAGCAGTTCTTATAGCTATATATCAAATCAGTTCATCATCGGATCTTTCTTACTGTTAAACCTGATCTTATTCCTACTTTACAATGTAATTCACATTTACATGTATATTATATTTATATTATAAATTATATTTATACATTATGAACATGATTCAGTGGGAAAGATATCATCAAATTTGAAGTTTTCTAATAAGTTCTATAAAATTCATAATTTTAAAACTTTAAACAACAAGAACATGTATACAACAACATATTACTTGTTACCTAGCTATGACACACATACCTTTCAATTATCAGGTGAGAGGACCTATAACAAAAACCAGCAGAAAAAAAATAACAAGCTCATCATAAATCATTCCCACAAATTAAATGTATCAAGCTCCCTTTTAGATCATATATATATATATATATATATATATATATATATATATATATATATATATATATATATATATATATATATATATATATATATATATATATATATATATAATCATGAGATAGGGAAAAATCAGTCAATAACAAAACATGAAAGGGAACAAATGGGATAAAATCCAACAGAACAGAACAATGAATTTCTCATTTGAGGTAATTCAATCCCAACTTTAAAAAGATATACGAGAACCAACATTGATGTATATTGACAATCAATTGTCCAGATGTCTTAAAGCCATCTTGAAACAGTCTTTACGCTATCATTCATTCAAAATATTTATTCAGATACTGGTGTTTTATGTATTGTCCCTACGTAGATTGAAGTTTTCTTAAAAAGAAATAATTCTGATTAGGAACTAGATGATAGACAAGAAGAATCAAACACATACATCTTCTTTATTGTTTTGAACTCAAAATCAAATTACAATTTTCCATAGAACTGATATTCAGAAGATCTTTAAAATAATAAGGTAGGTGTTCGGTTCAAGGAATTGAAAAAAAAAATTAAGAGAAAGTAATATTGAAACAATTGGAAAAAATTGCAACGCTATAAAACAAAATAATTAATAATAAATAATTAAAGGATTTCGTAAACGATTAATGAAATAAATGGCTCCCTCTTGCCTTATTAAAAGCGAGGAGGGGAAGTAAACTATGCTAGTATCCACGTAGATATCCACTGTCAATATTTATAAAATTAAGAATGGTTATGTACTGAGCAAAAAATTTAACGGCCCATGGAATTAAACTTACAGATGTGATTTATTCATATTTTTATAAGTGTTATATGGGTGGGTCTTTTGTACACCCATGGATAATTATAAAATCACGTATACAAGATATCCTTAATTCTTGTTGATTGTCTTATATATGGACAAATCAAACATTTCATAGCTTTAACTGTCACTTCTTTTTTGCTCTTTTGCTATAAATAATCTTTTTAATCGCCTGTTTTTGATTGATAAATTGGTCACTATTGATATAAATTTGTTATTATGGAGTGATGTTAATTTACTTTTACAGATTAAAAACACTATATTTTTGCTGCTGTTCATAAATTTATTGATAAAACTTCATCGATTTTAGATTGCTATGTTATCTTACTAAATTCCGCTCGTATTTCTTGTAAAATTCAGTTTTATCAGTTATTTTACATGTACATGATATATTTTTTAAGGAGAGGAACCAATAATTATATAAGTTGTAAGATCTTTTTCCACTCCTTTTATTTTTTCAATAAAATATGTTCAAAACGATCAACCCTCTGTCTTTCATCATGTTGCGCACACCATCATGTTACACACAACCTCTTACACCATGCCCCCCCCCCCCCCCCCCACCTTTTATCGCGTGTCATGACACCTCTTGACTCAATACATATCTTCTCATTTTTGTAGTAAATGATTTACTTTAATTTTAGAAATATTAGCCAAAAAATGCATGATATCTGGGTCAGAATGACTTTCTTGAGCAAATGACGAAGACAATTAGGAAAATAATAGTCATATAAATTATTTTCAGTATATCAATAAATTTCATAAAACTGAAGCTTTCGTATAAAAAAGATGAAAATATAATTAGTATCAGTTTGGTCGGACATTTTAATTATTACTTTCATCTTAATTATGATATCTTATGAATGTAAAAACATTCGTTTGAAAACTAAATTGCTTTTTGATACATTTGCTGCACAACTCGATAAAAAAAAAAAATAGATTGCAGATCATAGAGCTCCACTTGCAATACTGAATGTGTGCCACTTTTGTACTTGACAAGTTTTCCTAAAATCTGATGGAAGATCTGTATTGTTGAAACAGATGATTAAGGAAATCCTTTCTCCGATGATGTTGATTGCTTGAAAAGTAAAATCCATGTTATGCTAACTGCTTTTGCAAGATTACCATATTTCTTGTTTTATGCATTTATCTTATCTAAATTTTCAATGAATTTTGATATACTCATTTTAATATCGTGACAGTTTTTCATTTAAATACATAGTATGTTTACACATGTAACATAATTTTTGGGATTTTTGGGGGGGTGGGGTGGATGGTGGTGGTGCTGCACCTCCTACATGTATAGATTGATATGAATTTACATGTACATACATTGTACACTTGCCACTCAAACTCAATAAATGGGTGCAATTAGTGTCGTCATAAAATTATAAACAAATGAAAATCAGTGGAATTGTGATTAATATTGTAATATGATGTTGGGTCATAAACCTTTAAAAAAAAGCATAATTTTAAGATAAAAAGAAATCATTTATTTCCGTGGAGAAATCCAAACATAACATAGCTGAAAATGACATGTTCGTTACTGTCGCCATTTCGATATTAACATTTAAGAGAGGGATATTTGCTAGAATAACTGGTCAATGTGCACAGTTTGTACCCACATATCATTTTTCAGCAAGAAAACTTAATGATTTCAAAGGCAATAGCTTAGTACAGGTTTGAAAATTATTTTACATCTTGTTAAATTCTGTCGCCAGTTTCTATGTAATGCTTACTACACCATAAGAGTTGTAAATTTTTTCTTTAAAATGTAGAAAAGCTGATTTAAAACATCATTAGGCCGTTTTGTCTCGATAAAAGTCAAAATATTAAACACAATTATTTTCATCTATTCATATCACTAAGCAAACCAAAAAAAGCCTGTGCTGTAATATTCGTTACTGCCAAAAATGAGAAAATATATGCATGTAATGTTTGAAATCGTTTACGAATATATGTGCGGATTTGGTGCCATTAAAAATTTCCTTGATATATTTTAAGCAGACTAGGGGATTGATTGATAGGTTTCAAAATGTTCGTTACCGCATTTTACTAAACTCTCTACGAATTTAATCCTAGCTCGAAATGTGTGATGCAAATGAAACATGTAACAAGTTGTTGGTACATCAACATCCGCCATTAGTGCCAAGGACGATTGAACATTGTAACTCCTGCAAAAATCACCTAAAAGCCTGACCTCGTGAGTATGCATTTACATGCATAAAAGTAACTGATTTTGTATTAAGTAAATCAAACAATATTCAGAATGTACAAAATATTCAAGTCATATAGATCAGTTTTAATACATAGTATGTATTCACATGTAACATAATTTTTGGATTTTTTTTTTTTTTGGGGGGGGGGGGGTACGTGGTGCTGCACCTCCTACATGTATAGATTGATATGAATTTACATACACTTGCAAGCATTTTTTTTTTCAAACAATAAACTATTCACCGCGTTGAGTTATCTGCTGTTTTACTTAATAAATTTTATTTCTAACTACATATAATACGTCCATGCGCGGGTTTAGAGGGGAGTCGAGGGGGAGGGGGGCTGACCCCGCCTGGAATTTGCAGAGTAATAAAAAGTACGTGAATATACTGAAGCTAATAAACAAAACATGAATTTGGACCCCCTCCCCCATCACCACCACGAAATAGGTGTTTTCAACCTCAAGAAATTTTTGATATTTTTTTTGACCGGGATGGAACCTCCCCCCCCCCCCCCCCCCGGAAAAAATTCTTGGATCCGCGCCTGACGTCCCTCATATGATGGAGGGGGGGGGGTCACAACAAGCATTTCCTACATGAATATTACATTGTACCATGATTGCCAGATACATTAACTGAAGTGCGTGTTGTTTCAGATAGTTATTAAAACTCTCAGGACTCTTAACATGTTCAACGCATAACTGATAAGAAATGTACATGTATCGCTGGGCACCAACCAACAGACACGTAAACTAACTTGTCAAAGTTTGATTGGTGTTTAGTTTTTAAGTTTAACGTATTACTACGCAGAAATTAATCACTATTTACTCGGATATTTATATTTAAGTTTATCAAAATATTTGTGAATTGGGCAGTAACAACTCATTAAATCAATAAAGAAGAACAATGGTAAAAGTGAAATCGAATTACCGCTAGAGCTATATTCTATCGCGCACATATTTCCACTTTCATATTGATGGAAGCAGTAAAGCGACAAACTTCGGTGCAGAAAAAAAAACAAGTCGGCATGTTTAGTGTGAAGTTTCTGTGGCTCTTGACAGTTGCAGCTTTGTTAATGGTTGGTTATGTGAGATCAGATGGAGACGAAAAAGGTAAATGGAATTATGCCAGGGTTGCATATTTTGTTGAGCAAGCTCCTCGAGTCATTGCGAATTTCCTCGACACAAGAAATGTGTGCAACAATCTGAAGGAAAAGAAACTCTGTGGACGCGTAGAATGCTTTGTTTATGGCAATAGAAGGCAGCTTAATTAAAATAAATTAAAGCTAAAAATTTGAAAATGTAACAGGTAATGTCTTATAGCATTCATAACAGCTTCGTAACGGGTCCAGTCTGAGGACTGTTTCACCTACGTTGCTATAAGCTTTAATCTACATAGTAGGTAGAAATAGTCTTTTGACTCAACCTGTATATATTAGCCCGTTTGGGTCATAATATCTCAAGTTGAATATAAGTTTACAGTGCCAAAATTTAAAAAAAAAAAAAAAAGAAATACTTGGGTTCACAATTAAATTGTGAAATCCTCTGAAAGATTCTTAAAAACTTGCTTGCCAAAATTTATTGCATTCAGTGTATATAATTTTAAGCATAATAGTTTTTATCATTTTGCACACTGTAAATTTAAAAGCTAAAGCAAAAACAATGCAAAGTACCAGAGCTCTAAAAGCACTGCCCGGGCAAAAAGAAAATTCAGAATGTCTGCACATTGATTCAATGGAATTTTTTTGTTTTGCCCAGTAAACTCAGTACCCATAATCCTCCTATGGCACCCAAACAAATTCTCGTGATAAGCAAACAAAGGTTTATAAATAAGGAATAAACTATTAATCCTTGATTTAACGGATATTGCAGATAAATGGGAGTAGATTTAATGTTCTTTGTTAAAAAATTGCACATTTCAGAATTCGTTATGAAAATATGCAACTAACATATGACGTCGTGACGTCACAGTCTAAACCTTTCAAATGCCCCATGTGGTTTGAAGAGGTGGATCCAAGTTACACATGTAAAAGTGTCAGTGAATAGGTACAGGCTATCCATTAATACATACTGCGCTCGCCCCAATGGTCATACCATCAACATATTTTTGTAGTTTGGACACTATAAACCTTAATATAAGCTATTATATCTCACTGGGGCGAGTGATCCCTACCAGCTAAAAGCAATATTTTAATAGCATAACCAAGATAAATTAAGAGGTAACTCTGTAAATTTATAAGGTTTGTACTAAACTGTAAGATGTTAGGGTCTTTCAGTTGCTCATATTACTATAAATGTATTTATGTTGGTGGTAATCATATTTAAATGCTTTTCACACTGCTTCATGTCCAGTAATTCATATGCATGCTACATTTGTAAAACAATTTAATACATGTCCAGCATTTCCAGTGTAAGAAATGCCAATCCGCCCGCATACCAGAGATATAAATACAGTCAAATCTCGTTATCTCGAACTCGAAAGGACCGAGAAAATATTTCGAGATAACCAAGGATTCGAGATATCCAGAGTAAATTAAATAAGGAATAAGCAGTTGGGACTTCAAAATGACTTAGACATATCCATGGTATTCAAGATATCCGTGTTCGAGATACCGAAGTTCAACTGTAGTCATTATCTTCTATAAAAACATATTTACTGTGAAGTTGGACGGAATAAGATAAAATCAGTGTGCCAGGTGAGCTGATACGGAGTGAAATTTGAACATCCTCTCTGGATTTTATATGTCTTGGGGGCATGTTTTCCATTTTTTTCCCTCATTTATCTTGCAAGGTTCTGGTCCCTGCAGAGGAATGACTTTTTCATGCCAACCAATTTTGTGATTTCTCACAACTCACAAAAGCTCATGTAGGATAGTCAAACAAGAGGACAAGTTAGTTTTTTTTTGTTATTTAATAGATTGTCTTTGCTAAGAGTCTGTCCTTTTTTACAGCTGAGGATTCAGAGGGGGACACACCAGAAGGGGACACGCCAGAGGAGGGGAAAGAGGAACCTGATGTCTTAGTCCTGACCAAAGAAAACTTTGATGAGACGATTGACAAGCATGATAACATCATGGTTGAGTTCTATGCCCCTTGGTAAATACACTCTGATTGCTCAAATGCTTTCTAGTATTGTTAATCTTTCTTGACAGTTTTGTTATTAATAACTGCATGCAGCTCTGAAAGTTACAAAGAATTATACAGTAAAACATGTTTATAACGAAGTGCCAGGGATGGATGTTTTCGCTTTGTTATACTGTAAGCGTAATTCATTATATCCGTATATAGTTTACAATATATATTGAAGTCACGGGGGAATGAAAATCACTTCGCTGTAAGCGTTAATTCATTATAAGCATGTTTGATATAAGCGTGTTTTACTGTATCGGTTAGTTTCTGCTGGATCGACTCACAGCTTTCAACTTTATAAAATCAACATCTGAATTCAAATTCAATCATTCATGTTTTTTTTTCTTTGTATAAAGGTGTGGTCATTGTAAAACCCTGGAACCAGAATATGCTAAGGCGGCAAAAGTCCTTAAGATGTGGGACCCACCAGTTCCTCTGGCCAAAGTGGATGCCACAGTAGAGACAGAGCTTGCCTCAAGGTCAGTCAATGATATAATGTCTGAGTTGTTGCATAGATGTCTGTCAATCCCATGTAGAAACTTTTATGCTGTTTTATGACCAGCAGATCTATGCATACTGCATACTTTTCTTGTACAAAGGGTGATTAATAACAGAAATAGTACTTTATGATAGGCATGCATGTATCCTCTTTACCTTTGAATAGTTACATTAAAGGTTTTGCATTAAGGACATACGCAATGTACCTTACCTACTGATAATTTTTCAAGATATTCTTAATTTAAAATTAAAGTACCATCAGATGTTCATAGACAAAAAATCGGCATGCATTACCAGGGGTTTTGAAAAAATATCAATTGATGAAAATTCTTGTATAATTCAAAGAAAAATATACAAAAATTACTAACATATATGTTAGATGTTTTTTTCATCCAATTTTGTTTTCGAAGTGTCCAGCACCATATATGGACATTAAAAGAGTAACACACAGGTCCTTCAAGTACTGGAACTCTTCAATTCCAGGAAAAAAGACAGTAGAGTTCAGACTACCTTGCGTATGTCCTTAAATTGTGTTCAGAATAAAATTGTTGTGATTTCCGTATATTTCAAACTAAAGAAACTGAGACTATTTGACTGATTTTATTTCCTCATTCCTTCTTTCAATTCATTAAGAATGTCAATAAAATTGCTTATTTTTAAAAGTGCTACAAATATGTCACATGCCGTGGCCACTGACAAGAAAATGGTTTTCCAGCATACATGTTCTTAAAAGCTGTTATGCTACAGTTTGGTATAAAGCACCAGTAAAGATCTAGATAGATATAGTCTTAAGTCTCATTTCTTCAGAAGCTTGTGCTGTCTGGATAAACAAAGCATCCGAATTACTGAAACAGACTGTATATGAACCGTAGATATAAATGTTAATTCGATTTCCCACAAATTTTGTCCGAAAGGTGAAGCATCAGGATTGTTGACCTCTGGTCTATTGAGGTTCCATTGTAAATGTATTAAGAGAGAGAGGAAACTTAATGATCTTAAATATGTTGCTTTTTTTTACTCAGATTCGAGGTCAGCGGATACCCAACTATAAAGTTCTTCAAGAAAGGTGTTCCTTATGATTTTGATGATGGCAGAAATATGGAGGGTGAGTGCTTATATTTGAATCTTTACTTTCCTTTATGGAAGTTTCTTTAATATTAAAACATACACAATAGACAGGGTTCTTGCCTCAGAAAAGGTCTACCTCATCTAACAAATGTACAATTCCCAAGTATACTTAACACAGTTTTTATTTCCTCATGCATTTAAAGAAATATGAGTCAAGTGCACTACTTGTATAAGTACATGAATTATGATGTGATGTATTAGTGTTAAAAATGTTTTCTTTGTAAAATCTGTCACCATTATTCCAAATTGCTCTTGATTTGCAGAAATACAAGAGACTATTTCAGTGTTTCAATGCAAATGAAAAAAAGTACTGTACCACACATTAGACCTTTTAGATAATATCACTTACATGTGAGCTGTGTTTTAAATGTTTTAAAAAGGTGAACTTAAAAAAAAACCCAGCTACATGTCTTCCATTAGGGCTTTTATGATATATATGTACATCAGAAAGAACAGCCAGTGATATACCGTAATAGTGTCTAAGTATACAGCCCATGATACACATCTTTGCCTGTTTAGGCTTATTACTTATGAACTGATAAAAACATGTCTGTTAGATGCTTAGGACATGATTCACCACTCAATTTATTGCTGATATGGTACACATCACATTGCATTGCTTGATATGATACACATCTAAATATAACTCATGATTTAAGATATATCATGATATCATAGGTCGATCTGCACAACGCATTTTTGAATAGGATGTAAGAGGTACCTTGATAGTGTAGGACTAATACCTTAAGATTTAAAATACTTGAATTGTATTATTATCTTGTATGTTTTAAGATATATTGTGTTGTAGGTCTATACATTTTGATACTACCAATAGATGTATCATATTGTATGTTTGATACATTATGAATTAGGAATATTGTGATATTGTTTGTTTGATAGGATGTGATGTAGGACATATCATGATATTGTTTATCTAATATCTTATGATTAAAGACATATGATATCGTAGTTTATGACGTCATATGTATCGTGATATTGTAGGTCTGATACGTTACGTTAAGGACAGGGCGTCCCCAGACTGGAAACCTCCTCCTGATGCTGTGGTGACCCTGACTAAGGACACATTCAAGGACTTTATCAATAACAATGAGCTGAGTTTAGTGGAGTTTTATGCTCCTTGGTAAGTTTTCAATGTTCAGAGGTTATAGAAAGGCAAAGAAATCTTTGTACGACATTGTATAAGATTGCAAAATTTACTAATCAGATACAATGCTAATAATGTTTATTAAAACTGCAAGTTTATATTTCTTGTGCAAAGGTCAATACATGTAGTACATGTACTAGAATGCCAATTAAATTCTTTTGTCCAAATTTCAAATATACATGTATATTTCTTTACATGTATGTATATCATAACGTCATGCAATTTGTACATTTTTTTGTCATATATGATTATAACATGTGCATGTCATAAAACTGATCAATACATTCAATATTATTAATTATAAAACTTATAGGGAAGTGCCAGGGACAGACAATTTCCATTCATTATAAATGCAACTAATTATATCTATTAAGTTAATAATATTTTTTTTGTTTAATTTTCAAACTACACAGTATGAAAATCACTGCTGTAAGTGTGAAATCATTTAGCTCTAACCGTGTTTTACTGTATACTGTAGAATCAAATTAATTTGTGGAGCTCTATGTTTGTGGGCATTTATTGCCAAGCAAAATTTTACTTGTTTGTAGGGAAGTAATTTTGTGGGTTACTTACACTGTATTTATATGGTAGATTCAATGAATCAATATGTTTACAAAATAAAAAGTTATACGGTTGAAAAATCATGGGTAAGGGTGACCCCATGAAATCCATGAACATTGGTTCACCATGAAAAATGATGATTCGATCGACAGTATATTTTTGGTTCTAATTTTATCTTGTTTAGGTGTGGACACTGTAAGGCCCTGGCCCCAGCATATGAGAAAGCAGCCAAACAACTCAGCATACAGACTGATCCTATCCCCCTCGCTAAGGTGGACGCTACGGTGGAAACTGAGCTGGCCTCGGAGTATGAGGTCTCGGGGTACCCCACTTTGTTCCTTTTTAGGAAGGGGAAAAAGTATGAATATAATGGACCCAGGGATGAAAATGGTAAATATATGTATCCTGGTTTTATTTCAGAAAATAAGAGATCTGTAATGATATTAATTCGCAGCTAGGTTAAGGACTCCCATATATACGTCAGCCTATGCAGAGGTTCGGTAAAGGTATTATGACGTCACGTTAAAACAATACAAATGAATCTCGATGAATAAATACAATATGTTCTTTTTAAAACACACTAAATACTTTCGTTTATCATAAATATTATAAAGATAAATGGATGTGCAGCTTATCTTGCCATAATAGCACTTAGCGTAGGTAGAATGAAAGCCAGCTTGATCTCGCTGTACTTATTTAGATGACGTCATTTCTTAGTTTGACACGCAGTTTCTCTGTACTTGAGGCGTGGATCAAGCTTTTATCGTAGCTTGTAAAAATAAAAATAAATACGAAACACGCGTATTCGGACCAAAAGAGAGACATATTCTGAAATATATTAATCCACATTTCATCTTTAAACTAAATTGATAATGTGTAGACTTTATATAAAGTCACAGGGAGCAAATTTGTGCAGTAACGTGCTAGAATGACAGGTCCAGCCCCTCGAAAATATCAAAAGTTCAACGATATCCGCTTCACTATAAATTCTGATTTTTTAAACGCTTGTAGCTATTATTCCTACTATTCTGAAAAGTGCTGGGAGCTGGTTGTGCATTGTTGATTTATTCCGTAATGTACCATTATTCCAATGCGAATTACATTTTTGACTGGAGTTTATAGAAAGACGGCTAAATTTTAAACGATTCCCGAGCATGAGGAAGTTGCTCCCAGCACTTTTCGTGTTAAGGAATTTGTCTTAAAGAAAACAGAATAAATTTTATAGCCGAAAAATGACCGTATATCGTTGAACTTTTACGATCTTTAAAGTAGTGCATATATGTTCTAATTTTAAAACTGTCACGTGACAAACAGCTGATGTAAGCGATGTCACTTTGACCGCACTCAGCAGAGACCCGATATATACAAGTGCAAACACCACAAATCACATTTATCAAAACTAATGCTGTTTAAAAAAATATTAAAATTGTATTCATTTTCCCTGAATATATTACGGCGTATATTTCATAGGCGTCCTTAACCTAGCTGCGTTTTTCAAGAAGACTTCAGCATGAAAAAAAGCACTTTAGCAAGTGTTAAGGACCACAGTCCATAACATTATTATACACACTAGAACTTATTACTTCATATTTTCTTTCTATAACAAAAATTCACCAAATTATATTGCCAGAATTTTTTTTGTGTGAGTTGAGATCTGCAAGTCAAACTGAATAGGTATTTTTTGAAGACCTTTTCAGGAATGAAATTAATTTAAACACTTTGTGTTTGTCATTCTAGGTATTGTGAACTACTTGATAAAACAACAAGGGGAGGCATCCAAACTAAAGTTAAGTGTGAAAGATGTTAAGTCATCCATGAAGCCAAGCGAGATCTTTGTTATGGGGTTCTTTGACAACCTAAACGATCCTAAACTCCGGATATATATGGACGCAGGTAAGAAGGTTTAATTGGTTAAAAAGAGTTATCTTTCTTGCAATTTGAGGATGACTTTTCAACACTGTAGTCATGAGGACCTCACCAACCTGTGGCTGTCGGGCAGGTTTGATCAACAGTGGCCAGATAGCTCAGTTGGTAGAGCCCCTGACTAGTGATTCAGGGGGCCTGGTTTTGAATCCCTGTCTGATATTTCACATTTTCTCCTTTCCTGTTACATTTGGGAGTTCCACTTCTGGTTATACATTTCTAATGTTGTGAGGCCCCCAAATAAAATATGCATACAAACTTATTTTTATATAGAGCACTGAAATCGATGTTTCTACTTGGAAATTCTGCATTTCTGTGTGGTTTATTCAAGGATTAAAGGTCTATAAACTTGAGATTTTTCATATGACAATACAGTTGTATATCATGAAGAATTTCATCCCCATTTGATATAACATACATGTTATTTTATGCTGAACCAAATAAATCACAATTGTCTTGTTAAGGTGATTTTAATCAATTTTGTCAATTGAAGTGTATTTTGACATTGAAACCCACTGTCGAAGGAGTAGGCTGCAGTGCTGTAATTTTCTGTTTTCAGCCAACACCATGAGGGAGGAGTTTAATTTTGGTCACACCCTTGACCCAGCTATTGCAGATGCCTTCAAGACTAACCCAGGAACTGTCCTTGTATTCAACCCGGAGAGATTTTACACCAAATATGAACCCAAGTGGCACATCATGAAACTGGTCAGTGATGTTTGAATGTGTTTGATGAAAAGGTGATGGACCTTAGTTGAGGGGGATTGTAATTTATTGATACATTTATCTGCCATTTTAGATATATAAATGAGTTTTTAACAGTTTGGATTGTGATCGATTATTAAGTCTGCTGACTTTTTTTTACAACTGTGGAAATCATTTTAATTTGTGGACATGGTAGATTCAGTGAATCAATATTTGTAAAAACTTTGTGAGGATTTAAATTCGTGGGTAAGGGTGAGCCAAGAAATCACAAACATTGGACCTCCACGAAACAATGATGATGATTCCACAGTAGTTGCAAAATTCATAAACAAATTTAATTTTAACAGACTGTTAACCTAAGTAATGACTATTAAATATCTATAAGATTAAGTAGAACATTTTGCTTGGTTCTAAGACTTGTTGATATGTTTTGATTGGTTAATTAAAGGATGATGTTGAGGATGAAGGAGACATTGTGGAGTTTGTACGAAAGAGAGAAGTGCCATTAGTGGGTCAGTACACAGCTAACAACATCAAACAATACCAGAAGTACCGCCCTCTCTGCTTTGTCTTCTACACTGTGGACTGGAGCTTTGATCACAGAGAGGGTAAGTTGTTTTGATCCTGATAGTCAGAATGATCAGGCAGCAGATACACTGCTGTTAGGGTATTTACAAGTATTACTATTACTATTGAAACTTGTCTAATCCAGATTTTGTGTAATCTGAGAGCTTGTATATTACAATGAAAACTTTTAGTCTCTTTGGCTTAATTCAGTTGGTTTAAAATGTCTAATCCAAAATTTTGTCCAAACTGTCCAATTCTTATGGAACCAGTGGTATCCTGATTAGACAATTTTGACTGTATATTAAATGGATTTGAAGCACAGAAGCACAGAAAACTTTATATCTCAGTCTGAGTGACTGTATGTAGGGACGTTGTTGCCCCTTACTTCTTCCAGTCATTAGTGGGTGAAATCAACAGAGAAAGATTTTAGAGTTGTCTCTCTTTTGACACAGTTGTGTGTGGTCAAATTGAAAACGGGTGAAATTGTTGGCAAGAGTTAGCCTGTGCACAGTATTCTGAACAACCTTACCTCACCAAGGAAAAAAAATCAAAATACCAAAATTGGAAGTAAAAGTGAATTTAAGTGTTAATTTAACTTGAGGAGTTTATGCTACAGAAATAAAAATTATTTTGCCATATCTACATGTTTGAAGAAAAAGGTTAACATAGAAAGTAATGGGAAATATGATTTTACAGCAACCCAACTTTGGAGGAACAAAGTCGCTAAAATTGCCAACAACCACAAGGAAGTGAAGTTTGCCATTGCTGACGAGGACGAACACAGCCACTTGATAGCAGAGTTTGGATTGGAGGATTCTGGGGAGGAAATCAACATTGCTTGTTATGGCCCCGATGGAAAGAAGTACCCCATGGAACCAATGGAAGAATGGGAAGATGATGAGGTGGAGGAATTCATCACTAAAATGAAGAAAGGTAGAGTGGAAGTCCATAATGGGGGATGTAGATTTGGAGAGGGGGAGGCATGAAAATGTTGTTATTTTGGTTTTCATTTTTACATCGAGTATTTACAAGGGTCACTCAATTTTTTAAAAAAGTTTTTCAAAAAACAAACATCAAAAAATTAGGTAGAGATTTGTTAATTTTAAAAATGATATACTGTACAAGTTGAATTTTATCAAGATGCAAATTTAGTGATTCCTCCCCAAACTTCTGTGTATTATTTTAGCGAGAAGTAATTTTAGTGATTTGACAATATTTTGCAAGATAGCCTTACGTCCTTAGTGCTGAATAAATTGTTAGCGATATGCAATTTTAGCGATCTCAATATCCTCTCTAATAATGCCAAAATTGAATTTTTGCTAAAAATTATGCTTATATGATATATTGAATACACAGGAAACTTCCAATGGAATCGCCAGTCACCACTTTATTCTGATTACAAATTTCAACCTTGAACTCTTGGATATCTAAAAGTTTTCTGACACTCCTATTGTTTTCAGGATATTAATCAGTCTATCCTTTATTATGAATTAAATGCCTGATTTTTCCAATTTTAGGAAAACTGACACCACATTTAAAGTCGCAACCTGTCCCAAAACGCAACGATGGACCAGTAAAAACAGTTGTTGCTAAATCCTTTGACAAAATCGTGAAAGATAAATCTAAAGATGTCTTGATTGAGCTGTACGCTCCATGGTGCGGACACTGCAAGCAGTTAGAACCAATTTATAAAGACCTTGCCACCAAAGTCAAAAAGGAGAAAAATATCGTCATAGCCAAAATGGATGCCACTGCTAATGACGTGCCCGAGCTATATAAAGCAGAGGGATTCCCCACTATTTATTTTGCTCCATCTAATAATAAAGACGCTCCTCTAAAATATAGCGGGGGTAGAACAGTAGACGATTTTATGAAATATCTTAAAGAACATGCTACTGTGGCTTTTAAAGGGAAGGACGAGTTATAACACTTGTTCCTGGAATAGCATAAAAAATGAAAATCTCTCATAGTTTAATGAAGCATATTGTCCAAGTACAGATTTGTTTCTTAAGGTTGTTCATTTGAAAAAAGGATTTTTTTTCTTTTTTTCAAAATTTCTTTTGTCATAAATTTTGGCATGATATGAAATACAGTGAAACCTGTCTAATTTGACAAGCAATGGGAGAAAATTTTTGTATCGGAATAGATAGGGTGACAGATTACACAGTGTAATAAACTCGGAAAAAAAAAAATTAAATGGGTATGAAAATAAAGGTCGGAATTCACTGTGAAACAGATTGCACAGGTTTCAGATTAGACAGGTTTTCACTGTACATGTACTCTTCTGTACTCAATTATTATTTTTCATATAACGGGATAAAAACATTTTCCTCAAGCAAATCTGTACTTGGAGGATACCTCATCAAAAATTCATGTTTATTTTTATACTGTATGTGAGGTTGACAATGTATACAATCACAGTGTAAATGTTTCATAATTTATAAAATATTTCATCATCTCACTTGATTACTAGTAATATGAAATCTTTGAAGGTAAAAAAATAAACACTTGACATATACTAATCTAATAGTAATGTACATTTTGCATCAAGTGAATGTTTTAAACCATGGAAGTGAGAGACACATACATAGATCTGTTAACTCAAATGAACAGGGAATATTATAAATTATCATTTAACTCCTGTTGTTAACGTATTTCCTTTCAAAAAAAATATGCCAATTTGTTTTTTCTCCTCTAGAAACCTTGTTATAATGAAGAGAATGATGGTTTTGCATGCTTTAATTTTTTTTTGTCTGTAAACAGGAAAATCGAAACGAATGCTTCATTTTATAGAAGAAACTTAAAATGTTACATTATTTACTGTACTTAATGGTAATGGTAATAATCTACTTAGGTGTACTAGAATTCATATTTCAATCGACTTCACTATGTTACTGTAAGGTTAATATAAGATGTACTTGATATAAGTTATTTCTGGCATATATTCATAGCTGTTGTAGACTGGGTACAAATACCAAAATCATTTTGTTTATATAATTATTTTCTTTATTAGGAGATATATAGACCAAAGTTCATGCATGTACAGCATTTTTTTTCAATGAGGTATTGTCATTTTCATGTGTTAATCACACATTTTTTATGAGGGTTTGTATGAAGTTGATTTAAAATACTAATAGTTTTTGTGTAGGCATTGAGGTGTAATTTATTGTATATTTCAAACCAGAATGATCGTGTTTCTAGAATATTTTATAGGTTTCCTTTGTTAGCTGTACATTTTTCACATGGAAATATGTTAACTCTTATAAAAACATTTTAAGATGTGGTCTCAAAAATGATTGGTAAGCTTTGATTTTCTTTTACATGCACCTGCTTTTATTTCTAGTAATTTTTGATGCAAGATCTTTTTTTTTTTTGTATTAATCCTTGTTTAAAATTTCTTATTCAGTTTACATGGACGCCTTATTACTTAATGCAAAGTGATGGGAATTTCAGTGAAGATGGGGTGTAAAAATGAATACTGTAGATTCCTAAATATACACGAGGAATTAATTATCGCGTAATTACGCGAGAAGCACCACTCGCGAAATAAAATTACTCGCTTTTATTTTTATGGTGCTTTAATGTATGTAAAATCTCCAGATAAATCACCCATTCGCGAATTATTGCTCTCGCGATTTGACGCCATTGGGTCATTTCGCGATATTAAGTACTCGCGTAAAATAAGGAATCTACAGTAACAGAATGGCAAATAAATGGATGTAAAACAAATTACTGTAGTTTTGTGAAAACTTGAGTTAAGTGAATCATGTTCATATCTTATGAGGAAAAATGTCAACTTAAAACTCAGTGCCCTAAAACTAAACGCCCTAAATATTGATCAAGAACACGAATATTCCGTTGTCAAATGTAGTTTAAAGCAAAGACCTAACAATTGGTATGAAACGTCACCTAAAGAACGACCGAATGATAGACTATATTTGTTAACAAGGTCATTATAAAGATCATAGAATTGCAAAAATGAATTGCACGAAATGCAAACCTTAAATGAGGTTGTTGAAATCCCAGTAACATCCCCTTTTCTTTCAGTAGCCTTCCTCTGTTTAAAAATTGATCGTTGCAGAGAACAGTCTTGGGTATCGATGAATTTGGGAGCCGTAAACTCCATATGCAGGTGATATCGGAATATTACCACATAAAGAAACGTTGACGATGGAAGACCTAAAGTCATCTAGTTTGTCATGCAATTTAGTTGTAACTTGAACATTTCCCAAATTCTGTAGTCGTTGTAATGACATTGTTTTTCAGATACAACCTGTTGTTTTGTCGGATGCTGAATGACGTTTTGAATACAAACTGTTAGGCCAATATTTTCTGGGACAATTTTTCTAGAGATTTCTCCGTTTACTTTTGCCTTTCATTAAACAAGCCTGAATGTCATTCATTCAAGAGTACTTTTTGCAGCTTGGTTGATATTAGTCCTGTGGTTCAAATTGTGAAAAATTAGAAGATGGATAAACGAAAGAAGGACAAACTGCGATTTGAAAGCTTAAGCCTTCAGCTCACGTGAGCTAAAAATATGCAACATTATGGTCCATGTCTCTTTTGCACGTTGACACCTATATTTTGCTTTTACAGTAAAATTACTGAAAACCAGGTGGCATTTTTAGAACACAATAAAATACTGATACACGTATAAGGCTAATTGTTAAGACCATTGAGGGCCAAGTAACCCTTGTGTACAAAATACCTGAACAATCATTTACTTCTTTGCACATTACCATTATCTACTCCACTGCATGGGAATATGCCGAAAAAGATAAAGAGATACTTCTGCCTTACTTCATTATTACTGCACAAGAAAACCTAATTTTCTGATAATATGTACATTGTATATATGAAAAATGTGTTATCTTTTTTAGGAAGTATATGACTCTGTATTTGAAACCATTAACCTTGCTCTATATATGTCAAGAAAGAAGTTTTTTATTTCAAAGACTTTAATTATTTGACATATTAATCTCTGTTCTATAATGTACGAGGGTTGTCCAAACTTCGTACTTCATATTGAATACATTGTAAATATGTAGTAGAAGAATAATTTATGAAAAAAGACATAAAAAAGTATTTTTTGACCCGGGATGTATTGGGGGGGGGGGGGGGGTCCTGTCCACAAGTACCTGTGATCTGCTCATAACATTTTCGAGTAATTCAACATATCGAGTTTGTATTCTCATTCTTTTAGTCCATTGGTTAAGACATAAACATCATTTTAAAACTACATGTACACACTGTAGTTGTAATTGTAACGCAGGCCGTTATACATGTAGATGTTCCCCAAACACTCCTCCATTTCCATTTTGTATCTCTTTCTCTATAAGCTCCATTAAAGAAGGCAAAGTATTTGTATTATAGACTTTAACAACTTATTTTTCAAATTGTTTTTTTTTTTTGGGGGGGGGGATGGGGGATGATAATGCACATATAGCAAAATAAGCATAAGTCAATCAGATAAGTACACAAGCTTTCACGTGATTTTGAAAATTCCCATGTAGGTCATCCATAGTAAAAATAAAGATCAACATTTTAGATTTCTAAGAATTTCACTGAAAATGTAGAAAATTACAGCAAGTTGAACATTAACAAATCAGAAATTATCAATAGATACATGTATGAATATAAAAGAAAACATTTTTAATAATTCATCTTCTAAAGAAACACTGGACCAGGAAGTGCAAATTAAAGTTTGTTCAAATCACGTCCCCGGGCCACAATAGGCAATCAAAATTTTACATACACATGTACGAATACCTTAGAAAATATCTTTAAATATCTTCTTCTCAAGAACTCTGTGCCAGAATTGTTTAAACTTATTATAAGTGAAAGGTTTATTACACAGTGTACATGTAAATTTTGTTCAAATCATGACTCTCGGGGATAGGGTGGTGCCAGAATGGGTCAGAAAAGTTAACACAGGAATACGAGGGGTGATCAAAAAGTTCGCGAGCTATCTATATTTACTAAACCACAATTCAGATCAGGATGAAATTTGGCACACATATAGTCATACATATGCTGTATAAATAGCAAATGTTATGTAATGTTTTGCTCCATGTTTGTGACGTCACAAAGTGAAAATGACGTCAATATGTAGGTGACTTGTGACAAAAATGGTTGATTCAGTCATACTCGAGCAACGAACGGCTGTAAAGTTTAACGTATATCTTGGAAATTCCTTTGCAGTAGCATATGATAATTTGTACAAGGTTTATGAAGACAAACGACTTGCCAGTAGTTTAATCATTAATTGGATTGATTGTTTTTGTGAAGAAAGGGAGGTGGTTAAAAATGACGTTTGTTCTGTTGCCCATTGAAAGCAAGCTGGGAAAGAGATGTGTCCGTAGTTGAGCAATTTGTTATGAAAGATCGCCAAGTAACATTTAGAAAAATAGTTGTATATCTTCACAATAGTATAATTATTAAATTCCTAAAATTTCGTTTACTTTCGAATTTAAACATATCAGATATGATAAATAGAAGGCGCCCATACTTAATCCACATTGGAGAAACGACGCTCCCGAGACAGAGGACTCGGATTGTGATGGTCACCATTCTCATTCTGGGAAAGGATATCTTTATCCACCCATCCTATTGCCGAGATTTTGCCATCTCTGACAAATGGACTGTTCTTGTTATAAAAAAACAACTTGCATGGTAATAAATATAAGACTTGGAAAAAGCTTTCAGCTTCAGTGAACAAACCGCTACGGAGCCTGTCACTTGATCGCCTGGATCACGTGATTCGTGCATTGCACAGAACGGTGACAGATGTGCATTAAAATCGGAGAGGACTACTTTAAAAAATAATGAACACTGAAACCTAATTTTATGTCTTTTATAGAAGTAATTCAATTAATTCGCAAACCTTTTGATCACCCCTCGTATATAGGAAAAAATCTTTAAAACTCGTTTTCTAAAGAAAAACAAAGACATGAATAATTATATTTATATGTAAGCATCCTTACTGTAGATTCGAATTTGGTCAAATCATGATCCCGGGTTAGGGACTGACTACAATACGCAAATCAAATTTTTACAAAGAAATTTATATGGAAAAAAAAATCTTTAAAAAATTATTTCTTCTCAAGAACCACCAGGACAGAGGAGTTGAAAATAATCGAAAGCTTCATTATACAGTGTAGATTTTAGTTTGTTCAAATCATAACCCCCGGGGGTAGGATGGGGTCCACGGTGTATGATCAAAGTTTTACATAGGAATGTAAAGGGAAACAATCTGCTAATGATGAACAATATGATCATACATATTTATGGATTCACTCAAAGAATATTTTCTCCTTCATCTCATTTTTTACGCCAATTACCCCAGCGACAAAAATTGCACATTTTATTGAGTTAGAGTTTTTCAATCTGTGGACAAATTTGAGAAAAAATAATCAATGTAACGTTCTTCTTCCTCATTTCAAAATATTTTTTGTATCATTTTGTATCACTCTATGCCCTCTTCACCATATGTAAAGACAAGAAAATTAAACAAAAATGACTTTTTATGAAGCACACAAAATAAACTTATATTCCTTAAGCAATATTTAGCACCTCTGACATAAAGTGCATGTGACATTAAATGATACTGAATGCACGCCTAGTAACTAATTGATACTAAAATTGAAAATAAGAAGGCAAAGATTCGTATTGGTTGCCAGTAAATAATTATAAAATCAAAATATCATATGTGTTTGTCACTCAAGGACTGGCTAGGTTATATTAGAAATGCAGTATATGGTTCTATTTATGTCTCAATTGATTAATGCCCTTTGAATTGCTAGTCTCTTGCAGACTTTATATATATGTACATGTTTCAATCTGCTTTTTTTGTAGGAAGTAATCTAATTTACTTGAAAAGGTAAAAAAAAATTGCTCTTCTTGGGTTAATTAAAAAGTGCGTAAAGACAAACTGACTTCATTACGAGTTAGAAATTAAAGAAATGCATCTTAAACCTGTCGTTTTCAATTGATTATACATTTCACAACACATGTCCCTAGACAATGTAAAAAAAGAACTTTCAAAATAATTTAGAAGCAGATACATTCAATACAATTTATGCCCAAAATTGATAAAATCTGCAATATTTTAAACGTTATATGAGACGAAATTACTCGAAGTTCCCAGGAATTCACAAAGAAGTCCACTCTCCTTATCATCCGATTCCCACGCTCTGATATAACATGTCAGGTAAGTTTTTTGCATCTTTTGGGACTTTCAAGAAAATACTTAAGAAACTTCAAGCACTGAATATCCATTAAGCTGAAAACAAATCTTGATTGAACTCTACAGGGCCATATTAACCTTTAAGATAATGTGGTCTTTGTATGTGAAAAGCGACAAATCATTAATTCAAACTTCAAATAGTTTATTAGATAATCAATGAGTATTGAATTATATAGAAAATCAATAACTTGTTTTTTTTCTGGACCAGATTACCATTTTAGATAGCATGTTTTTGTGCAGGAAAGATGACGTGAATATAAACATAAATTCAAACTCCATGCATGTAGTTTGATTAAAGGAATCATTTTCAGAGTGTTGTCTTTTTTGCACTACATGAATATCTTTTCATTTTTTAAAAAAAAGAAGGTACGGCTTTAGATTTATTGTGCCCTAAAAAATTAATGTTTCAAAAGTTTTGAAACTGGCTTAAATATTAGTTGAGTATATGTCTGAAATAAAGCAGGAAAGAATATGGCATGAAGGAGTACCATTCTGGAAATATGAAGTTATTAATGTGATGCATTTCTCTATTATAAACAGTAAAACCCTTAAAATGACCCATTTCAAGGGTTATTTTCCTTAAGAAAATAATGTCCACAGCCGTCGCTCACCTTAATTTTCGGATATGTTTTGTAAAATTACAAAATTGTCTGAAAGAAAATTCCATTGAAAGTTGGTGTTTTCTGCAACTTTTTAAGAAAATATGAGAAAATGCACAAGTTTCTGACGTCACAATTAGCTTTTAGAAGGTCATGTGAGTAAAATGATTTGCACGATCTTTCCGCATGGAATTTCAATGATTCAGAAAGCAGGAGTTTTAATTTTTTACATCACTTTCACAGGACAAGATTTGTATTGAAACCGTGCCTTGTTCTTTCCCAGTTCATTGAAGATCATAACGAAAATTATATACACTGTATATATATATATATATATATATATATATATATATATATATATATATATATATATATATATATATATATATATATATATATATATATATATATATATTGGGATCATCTGTTCATGTCTTTTCTTCATGGTGTTCTTTCAAAAGTATCAACTAATCCACATAATGTGTACTTTTCAAATAAAAGCAAAAACAAATTTAAATAGATGGATTTAATGAATTAATAATTCTACAAAACATACGTTTGTTGATATTGTCTACTTATGTATAATCATGTATGATACAAAAATTAAGTGTAAATATGAATAAATAATTAGTAGATTAAATTTACATTTGAGGCTTAATTGTTTGGTTAATTAATTGATGCTAAAATCATATTTAATTAAATGGGAATATCAAGGACAAATCCAGCACCTTCTTTTCATTTTTTCCAGGATTGGAGTAAGAAGGGTGGGGAAGCTGAAATTAAATGTGACCTTCTCACAAACATTTAATTACCTCAAATTTAATAAAATTTATTTAGCCATAAGGAGTTTATCAGATATCTCGCTGGAGCAGCCCCTGGTTTATAATAAGAAAAGCAACTTTAACTATCAAAGCATTGGTCTTAAACACAAAGTATCTACAAAGCGTTAAATATTTCAATTGCGGCATATTCATCAGTAATTTCCATCTGTAATGTAAGAAACTCAATCAACACTGACTTAGTCTGTCGCTGTTAATCAAACAAGTGTTTTCAGTTATGTACAAAATCTGATGACAATAAAGAAACATGATTTCAGTAAACAGAGAATTAACATAGTTATATTTTGACATAAATAAAACATCTATCAAGAATTAATACAACAAATACTAAGTATATAAAGACATATCTCTCTCTGATTAAAAAAGAATACACGTGTTAGCACTATGTCTAGGTCTTATATTGGATAAGTAAGCACATATCCATTAAAGAAAGAAACGTACGGTTCAAGTTCTTTCTGGCCACTTGAGATGTGATATGTTCTGATTTGTGGGATTATTTTTCTGCTTAACCTGAAAAGCAAGAATAATTTCATTAAAAGAGACTTTCCATAGACATTATTATACTAGTATTGCACCTAACCCCCCCCCCCCCCAGTGTTTGTCACACAGCTTTGACAGAAATACATGCATTGAAATGAATTGGAAAGAAACAACGCAAAACGAAAAGCTGACATAATTATGTGATTTAATATTTGATTTTATTCAAAACTTTAATGAAACATATTTGCACAGCTACTTGTAGGACCCTCTCTGATTCCTTATTTCGAGGTACAGTCTCTCTAATGACTGAAACATTTTATAGGATTTGTGGCATACATAGTGTCAGAATTTCTCGAAACTCTTATGATGTTAGTAGTTGATACCGTTAACTAAAATCAGGTAAAATCATTGGTTGCGATGTGTCATAGTATCCATGGCAACATGCCCTTAAGTTTGAAAAAATGGCTTTTTTCAACTTGTTCAGAGTTCTAAAATCAAATCCCTACCAAACTTTTTTTCAAACCACAAAAATTTGATCCATTGAAAAGTAATTTTACATTATTTTCACGGTTTCTGAAAAAGTCTGTTTGTAGCAAGTGGGCTTAATCAGATATTAACAAATAGACAAAATAAAATTTCTTTTTCGTAAACTAATCGTGGCGATGTTTAATTCAGCATAATAAAAAAAATTACTACACTTGTTAATTCTGAACTGCTTATCTCCGAATAGTACCCTTATTTTTTCCTTGTTATAATACATGAGGAGAAGTTCTAAAATGCATGCAATTTTTACCACGGATGTTATAGAAATGGTTCGCCTTTCTTTGTTTAGTTATTTTTTAACAGTCATATTGCACCAAATCTACGCAAGTCGTAGAAAACAGTTTTTAATTTTATATACATGCACTTTCAAATTCTCTTTGCTTCCATGCAAATATCGATCAGCTGTCTTTTCTACAAGATTATTTGAAGATTCTTTTAGAATTTCTTTTGATGAATTTACCCTTGGCCACACTTTTCTAGACAAGCAAATGCAGCGGAAATGGGAAAACAGTAAAAATATACGCTCAGTGTGACGAATCAGAATGCTTTGAAAATCAATGTAAGGTATAATAGACGAAGCAGGACAAGCACAGCAAAGCTAATCCCGGATCTTTGAAATTCCCGGAGAAGATCAATGATTTTCTGCGTTTGTAAATTGAATCAAACTGAATTTTCTGTTTTTAACAGACAAAAACCCTGGATGATCAGGGACGTCAAGCGTTCAAGTATGATATTGAAATTGATTTCGGGGAATTGCATCACAGAATGCCTTTGCTTCTTTAGAGGATTCAAATTAAAGATTGTGTTGATCAAAGACGTAGGTATACTGCGTAAAAGTTTCTATGTTTGGTGATATTTTCTATTTTATATATCAAATCTTTACTATTAAATATTCTGACGCAGACTTGCAAGGCGTTATTTTTACATGTGAGTTGCAGTTATCAATAATAATTTTTTTTTGTAGAAAACATGCACATGTAGTATATTGTGATAACATTTTAAACAAAATATGGTGCTTAGGTGATAGATGGGGAATTTTATTGAAAATATATATCTGGCCTGGACCATGCGAAGACACATTTGTGTGATTGTTAAAACTTATTATCTATTTAAAAAAATCACCTCTGAAACAAGGATAGGGGAAGAATCGAGATCCTGAACGGCGCACACAAATCCGGAGATGGCCACGCTTCTCGGAAGAGATTTTACTTTTACTTTCGTCCTCGCCCTGGTTGTCAAAGTAATTCTCACTAGATGTTGCTATCATGTCTGGGTTCAATTTTCCTTCCTCCACCAACTGTAAAAATACGAATAAGTTTTTACAAAGTTCTATCAACGAAAAAAATCTGTTAAATTTTCCCACTTTTTTTCTCAATAGTTCGTATTAAGAAGGCTTTAAAAAAATTTATTAAAGAATTGCAAAACCTCTGTCTTATATGGTTATGATCTGATTTGTCTACTTTTTTAAATCTGAATTGAGTCTATAAATAAAACAGAATTACGAGGTGTTATCAAAAAATTCGTGGACTAGAGCCATGAAATCAAAACTGCTTTGGTACATCAATGAATTTTAAAACATTTAGTTAGCGTCAATTTTTCTATCTGTAGAATAAACCATAAATCATAAGTTTTATTCTTTAATAAACTGTCAATGTTTTTGTAAGCAATGGTATGACCAGGCAGCGCAACCTCAAAAATGACGTTTTTTCTATCTGAGTGTAACTGTGAAGAACTCTTATGATATGAGCATTTGTCATCAAAATCCCGTTATTTCAGGCATTTGGTACGACACAATTGTTCTGTAAACTTAGCAATTTTTACCCCTTTCTGTAAGTTCTATGAAATTTTATCTTAAATTTTATATGGAGTGTTCAAAAAATTAAGGGCTTTAAAATGACGTCAAAAAGGGGGAAGGGTTTCTTTTTACAGTATTCTAAAAAGTGGAAACACTGGTTTGAAAAACTGTTATTTACGTAGAGATCGGAATGTTTAAACGGGCTTCAGATAAATAAAATCATTCCAGAGTACTTGATTTTTAAATGCCAAAAAGATTCAGAGAGATGAAAGATGCACAGTTAATGTCGATTTGTAGTCAGGGTGTCAAACGTCAGCTACGCCGAAAAGTGACGTTGATCATGTGTGGTAGAAATTGAACGCCAACAAGCTAAGTTTTCTGGCATAACCAAGTGAGGATCTTTCCCTATATATAGATTCATGTACAATATTATATGCATTGAAAGCAGCTCTTCGTGACATTGAAAAGTGTGATAAACAAGGCGTGCTTAAGTCCTTACTTAACTCCAGGTAATGTCATCAAGATAAGTGTATGAGGTAGAGAGAGCAGGTATTGAGAAACAATGACGTTGTCGGACGTCATGAAACTAAGCAGCGACAGCGTCGGGTGATCATATATAATGTCTTTTTATTTTAGAATAATTTGGCAAATTATTAACGTATCAAGCTAAAATTTTGAACATTTCTTAAACTTTTGTTGTTTTATGTTCCTTATAAATTTTGTAACACAGACTACATTGTAATAATTTTATCGCATCAGTCCACAAACTTTTTTGTTAAGCCCTCGTAAATATTAATAAGTATAACTTGTCACTTCAAAGTGTAGAATGTTTCTCCGTGTTCTTAATTCTAATGTTTTTCATTTTGTTCTACTTTCTAGTTGTGTCAATAACAAAATCCCCAGGGAGACAGACTCTGAATCGTGCAGAATTCCATGGAATTCATTTAGTTAATTAAATTCCTCATGCCATTAATCAGAGCAAAGAGCTATTTCTGGTTTTGCACGTTTCGATCTGTATTGCATACCTACTTACGAAGAAAGTTAATTCAGATTCCTAGGCGAGAAATAAGGTATATCAAAATTGATTATGCATTTAATTTTTTTCTTGAGAAAATCGTCTCTGACAATCGTCTGCTGCCAAAATATGTAAATTTTTGCACAGTTACAAATTACTGGATGGAATAAAACAACCCCTTCACTTAAAGAATGATTATGTTATATGTACATGTGTCTTCACAAAATCCTAAAAAAAAAAAATTTATTTCATCATTAAAATGAGTGAAATACTGTAATTTATTTATTTGATAAAAGTGATATGTTGCCACAATGTGAAAGAATATCAGAGTTTTCATTCCCTTCACAAAGCGTGTTGAAAAAATACTCTCTCTGGCATGTTAGAAGACAGAGAAGTTAAGAAACCATTCTTACAGAGACCACAACTGCCAAATTTTCTCCAAATATGTGTTGTTGAAATAAGTGTTTACAATATTTTCCATTTCACAATCGCTTAGCTATGACTTCTTAACTGCTCATCTATGACGTCACGGCCTACTTTATCATGAAAAGACAAACTGAGGCAAAGGGAAAATCAAAGAAAATTTTATATACAGGAATTGAGTATGGAATTTATATCAATCTTGAGGCAGGATTTATAATATATATATATATATATATATATATATATATATATATATATATATATATATATATATATATATATATATATATATATATATATATATATTCACTCTTGTTATGAATTCGTGAAAATATAAATAAAAGGTCCTGTCCCGCTCATGAAAAAAAATTCATATCAAACTACAAAATATTTAAAATTCTCTATTTATTAAATCTTAAATAAAGAGTATACTAATTAGTTTCGTTCAATGAAACATGCAATGACGTACATACCAATAAAATGATACTTAACGTATATTTGAAATTACTTTATTTGATTAAATATAAACAAAGTGTCTTTCTTTGTTTATTAGTACATGTATGGAAATTTTCATTGCAGTTGTTTCAGAAAAAAAAAAAAACTAGTCTAGATATCCGCTAACACAGTTATGTATTTTTTTCTGCAACCTTAAGTTTCATACTAACAATGAAAAAAAAAGCATGTTATTCTTTAAGTTAGTTCATATATAGTTGTTTTGGATATAAATGCATACGTGAATGATTGTAGTTATCGTTATGACTACATATCTCATCAGAGTATGAAGTGCTTTTAAGTTAAAGCACGTAGGTTACCTTTTTTGTAACTTATTTGTGATATTCAGCAAATATTTTAATTGTTCTTTATCGTTCAAAGATACCGCATGGATTTTCTCCACATTCCTTTCAAACCTATGATTACAAAACAATTTTCGTCCTGAAATACTTAAGTCCAACACTTTAGATTGTGCTTTTTTATTTATTTTCTTAAGAGCATAATCACCGAATCACCTTTGCTCATATTTTAAATCAATGCTATACTTCACAAATTTTAGGCACTAGAGCGTTAGCTATGCAAACTTCAATTTTTCGTTCATTAAACAATGCTAACATTAATAATTGATATTAAAGAAAAGAACCTTTTAACTCAAAATATATTTCATATACAGTAAAAAAAAAAATCATTGAACGTATATGACTTTCACTCATCGTATAATAGCACTCGATAAACCCTTTATCAAACGGTTTAATCACAGTCCCCATATCAGATAATGGAAGAGACGTCCACTTAACTGTTATTTACCCCAGACTTGTCAATTTCTAAGTGGTCAGGTACAGCAGAGACCGTTTAATTGCTTTTCACCTGATGTCAATGAAGAATCAGTTCGTTTTTATTGTGGTGATTCTCTCAATGGCTAGATGTAATGATGCTAAAAATTCCCACTTGGAATTCTAGACATGTCTTTCCTGTTGAAACAGGACATTTACATTGTACTTAATAATATAAACTGGATAAAATGGTTCACTGCCCTATTCTGATGTGGTGATTATCAAAAATGCACTGAGAGGAAAATTAATTAAACCGGGCCAGATTATTAATATTTAAGGTAGACGACTAATTAGGTTTGAATAGTGAATATCTTCTAAGAAATAAACATTTGATTTTTTCCCCCAAATATGCACTTAAATCCCTTTAATTTGATCAAATTTTAAAATCTCTTTATTATAGAACCTTTTGCAACTTTTTTTTAGTTGCTAAACAATTTTGATACCATTCCTGGTTTCACCCTGGTTACACTGAATAAATAAGTTCGTGCGCAGAGCCATACACAAGCCTAGTATCTAGGTAAGGATAAATAGCATGGATATTTGATGTTTGGTACCAACAAAGATATACAAGTAATATCATATAATACCCTTATAAACTAGAAATCTGGTGTTGCTTTCTTCTTTTAAGAGAATTAACTGTTTATTTAAACGAGCATTTTTGACTGACTTTACCTGATCTTTTTCCAAAAAATTTAGAATGTTTACCGAGGTATATGCAGACAAAGTCAGACATGTTCCTCGGTGGAAGGTACGTTCTCAAACACCCCAAGGCTAGCTTAGCTGCTGCTAGTATCTTAAACACAGCCCTAGTTGCAAAAATATACCAGAGAAGTAGGCAACAATTATTCAGTACATGTACGCTTCAAAGGATTTGCAAAGAAGAATAGGGATTAAGCAATCCCATTTCCTTCATAAACAAGATGTTGATGTTAAATTTCCATCGTTTTCATTTCTAAACACTATTTCTAAGTGACAACACAGTTTTGTGAAGATGAAACTATGAACAACACACAAAGTAAATGGAACCAGAAGAATAAGATAATGATATAGATTTTATAGATGTTATTGATACAAGTGAAGAATGAAAACAAATCCTTAATTCTGACGCCCTTCTAGGGTTAACTTTTATGAATTCAAAAGAATGTTATATTGATGTTTCCTCATGTTTTTATATGTATATACAATATACAAGAATTAATATCGTTGATTTCACAAAATTCTGAAACATTATTACTTTTCATTGCAAAACCCTATATTTTAATAAATTTGATCATCGCCTTCATAAAAAAAACAACATGAAAATAATGCGATTTCTGTCAAGGTAAAACATACCAAATTATTTTGACTGTTGTTTTTGTGTTAAATCGAATCCACCAGGAAATAGACATCCAGTCATGATATTATTCCATCATTTGTATTAAACTCTTGTATTACACGATACTAACGAGAGGAAAAAAAATTGATTAAGCTGTTTGATATTATATTTTTGTTCATTGATTGCGGTATAAGTCGCCAGAGTAAGCCTAAATAACAATTGAAAAAAGATAACGTTTTATTGAAATACGAGCAAAGGGATGTTATTATAGAACAGCAGGGGGATGCTCTATATTTTGTTGATAATTGTTCTGTGTAACATAAAACAATACAAATATAGGAATGCAATACTTTACGATCCTTTGCTATCAAGCAAATGAATAATCTGACAGTTTGATCTTATTTGTGTTTTACATGAGGTTCGTTTTTTCGAAGTCAAATATGTCACATCCAAATACGTTTCTAGTCTTACAGAAACTTTCCTTCTATCGCCATACAGAGGATAAACCGGACAAATAGAGAATTTGGTTGTTTACTTAAAATATTCAATTACTTCTCAGGGTTCAGATACAGTTGTTGAATACGGGAAAATTTGAAGGAATTGTGCAATGTTGGTTAATTCTTCTTCACTTACATGTACCCCTTTACCCACTCTTATAAATATATAGGTACAGTGTATATATTTGTTCAAATATATAAATACTTCTTATAGAAATGCTTATCAAATAGTTAAGCTTTGCATGAACATTTTCATTACAGCGGAGACAAATTATCTTCTTCTTTTTTTTGTTAGGATTCAAAATCTTTTTAACGAAAGACCTTGAAATCCAAGAAATTTGAACACAACAAAACGGTTTTTATCAACTTTTATCAAGCTTTACCAAAAATGAGTCCTTTCGCTGTAATGATAATATTTTTGCAAGCATGACAGTTTTATAAGCATCTCAATGAGAATATCAAACAATCACCATTATTTTCTATCTCACCTCTGATGTTTTTTAGAGGTTAGTGTTTGCTCTGCTCCCGATTTGTATTGGTTCAATGGACTTTTGAGCTTGATTACTGTTCACTATCTCCATATTTCATTGGTCGAATAGCATACCGGTATCACTTAGCTGGGTAGGATGATAAGCAAGATTACAAGAACCACTGTCATACAAATACATGTAATTACAAATCAGGATAAATTCCATTGTAATTTGCTGGGGACCAGGGATTTTGAGGGGTATTTGTAAGGATATATGGTCTTGGGTAACAAGTTTACAATGAACAAATATGACATCTAGGAAGCAGGCTCATACATCCATATTGAAATATTAATGTAGCTTTTCAAAACTTTGTTTTCCATTTCTTTTCAAATAAAATACTCTCTTTATGAACCAATAGTCAATAAAATAATAAAGAAAACAGTCAACGCTGACAATGATTGATTGATAATTTTCTGATGTATTTCCGTGTTCAAATATTTCTATAGCTAATTCGTGAAAATAATTTTATAATCCAAATGAGCATCGCTTTATCAATGTATGTCTAAAATGATCTGTTTCCGGATATATGTTACTTCTATTATAGATTCTTTCCCCAATTTTGAGAATAGTGATCATATTTTGGTGAACAGACCTTTATTTGTAAATACATGTAAACATGTTATGCATTACAATTTCTGAAAAATCCCTGAACATTGCCTTAAAATGTCTTAAATATTGTCTAAACATTGCCTCAACATTGTTTAACATTGCCTTAACGCTGCCTTAACATTTGTCTTACTTTACATAACGCGAGGTAGGTTAGATTCCAGTTAGAAGTATATATCGACTTTAATTATATTCGCTGCTTAGGTATATCACTACTTGTTTTATGTACATAAAAAATAAGAAAACGTGAAATTGCCTTTTAAGAAATACCATGATGAAATGTACTGTTCAAGCTTGTTCACGAAAAACCATTTTATAAAAAAAATATTTTATGTTGATTTTTTTTTAATTTAACACAATCTTGAGAAATACCAGACATGACATTAATGAAAACTAAAGAATAGACACAGATTGGAAATCCAAGGGACCTGTTTTTCTTTGTTGCAAACAAATTTATGCTGTATATGAATTTATGTCCTTGACCTTTGACCGTTTGACCTCAAAATAAATCTGGATCTTCTTTTATACATAGCAAGCTATGAAATAAAATTCATTTTAAAAGTTAGAGAACTTCTAAAAATGTCATACAGAACAATGTATAATTAGATGTTAATGGTGGACACAATTACGGACAGATGGATTGAAGAAATATTTTGTGCGGAAGACAAAAAATATAACCTAAATGAAAATTAGTGTTCATATTTTTTATTAAAATCAAAGAAGTGATTCAATTAAGATTATTTTGAGGATTGTTTCGAAATAGGTCAATGTACTAAGACTGTTAAGGTTGGTCAATATGGGCGATTTTTCGATACCAAGAAGTTAGCTAAGACTCTCGGGATGATACTAATATCAAGAACTTTGCAAAATGTTTTTTGACAAATTATTCAACAAATCGTTGAAATAAAAAAGATAAGAATTCAATTTTTGAAAAATAAAATCAAATAGTTTACAAACAGGCATATTGTAATACAACATTAATATATATATTGTAAAAATGTATATTTAAAAAAATCTTTTGAGAACTAAATAACACAGCAACAGATATTTTTTATTGGAATTGTAACCCAATGAAAAATCATAAATTACTGCAAGATTATTGCATATACGTATTTTCATAATAAGACTCCTTTAAAGTCTCAAATATCTGAAGTACAGGCTTGAGAAGATATAGAATGCCATTTTATATAAAATAAATGACATCGACTTTTTACATCATCAAATAAACTCAAATTCCAAAACTGATTCAGTGTTTAATTATCTAAATCATTTTCTATTAAACATGTTTATTTGTTCTTTTCTTGAATTCTGCAAACAGTTTCAGTATTTTATGAATTAGTCTTTGATTTTGCAGGAAAAAAAACTGCACGAGGATACAAAATATAGCTGAACTTCAGTTTCTCGAACATTGATATCTCGAATACCACTTATATGTTGAAAGGATTTTGAAGTCCCAAGCGCTTATTTTACCCTTGATATCTCGAAGTATTTTTTCGGTCCCATCAAGATTGAGATTAATTAATTATAATTATTCGCGTTTAATTATAATTATTACCATGCATATGTCTAAAAAAAAAAAATGATTTCCATGTAATTAAAATGGTGATACACATTAATTGTTCCTATATGATATGTATGAATTTAATGAGAGAATTTTTTTTATTTACTCCTTTGTTTCAAATGATCCATTTCATGATATTTTTTTTTCAAACTATGATTACTAGATTACGTGTATTGATGTTACTGACTTTATCATTCTATCAATTTTAGTAAACAAATTGCAATTAATCCCACATCTTTATATACTAAGTACTCTCAGCTTTACTGAAATCACTTTTATGCATTCTTACTCAGGACTCGAAAACAAAGAACATATTGTCCCATGATGAAATTCATAAATACATGTATGTTCATATAAAACTCCGTGCTTTTATCAACATTTTTACGATTCTTTTGCCTGTATATCTACATCTTTGTATACTATGAACACTTCAATTGAAAACACGGTTCAAATTCGTTCCTCTTCACTCAGTTTTCTCACGAGAGAACATTCAACATATTCTTTATTAGAAAAAAAATGGTGTATAAATAGATGGTAGATGTTGGAGATAGACATCAGATAACGTCCATTGGACAATATCCAATCTTTCTTATATGTTGTATTTTTTTTACATTACATTTATCGGCAGAGAATAGAACTAAGAAGCAAAAAATATTCGATCAGTCTCTTAGATTAGTATAGGAGATCAGATAATGAATAAATCATGTACATTAATGAAGCTAATTCAACATTCTTTGAACATATTTTTCTTCAAAGACTGCGAATACCATTTTATGCCTATTAGTGATGAGTGTTCTTTTTCGTTTAATTACGTCAATGACAATTACAATATTGCTGAATTCAGATTAAAGACATTTGTATTGCATAAGTAACTCAGTTAACACGGTGTAGGCAAAAACTGGTGTCTTTGATGTTTTCAGAGCCTCGTTTGTTGAAAGCATTGTGTAGCTTTTTATTCTAAAAATGTTTTTTTTTTTTACAAGGAAATATTTTCAGTGAGATCAATTTGTGTATTTCTGTTGCACAGCTGATATACTTTAAATAGTTGAAATAGTACATTTTGTCATGCATACTGTGGAATCATTTTATTCGCGGGCTCAATGTTCGTGGGCAAGCATAGTATACACTTATCCACTGGCTGTGAGTGGGATAGCTCTTTTATCAAACCCGCGACAGAAACTATTCCCCGAGGGCTTGTCCGAGGGGAATAGTTCCTGTCAAGGGTTTGATGATGAGCTATCTCACTTACAACCAGTGGATAAGCGGTTTATTATACTGATGTATATTATAATTTCTAAGGGTTGTAGACAAAACATGAAAACGTCAAAAGAATAATTATAAAACTTTTGAGGAAGTAATTTAAAGTAAGATAACACTGCAAGAATAAGCTGAAATTCCGATGACGTCACAATGCTCCTGAAGTAAAGATGACCTCATCAGTGTATAGAAGTATCGCAGGAAATAAAATTGGCGTCAAAAATTGTATGAAAATTTTCCGAGGGGTGGGTAGCAAAAACTATACCCCGGGGTATAGCTTTGCTTTGCGTGGAAATTTCCAGACTATAAAAGATAGTTATTTTACCTTCTTAACTTTATATAGGAAGCATTTTAACAGAAGTATAATAATCTATTTTACTTGTTCGTGGGGACGTTATTTCGTGGGTACTCGTTTATACGGTAGACTCAATGAATCATATATAAACAAAATAAACGTTCGTGGAAATGTAAATTCTTGGGTAAAGGTAACCCACGAATTCCTCGATAATAGGTCCCCCACGAACATTGATGATTCCACAGTATTGTATTAAAATGTCCTGAAAATCTTGGCTTATAATTTGTAACAAAGGAAAAAATAATTCCTGAAAATGTAATTTATGGACAGGGTATTTAATAGTCATTGCCTGTTGCCCAATTTAGTCAGATTTTTCTGTAGGAATATTGTTTAAAGGTTTCCTGAAAATCTAATATCTAAATTTAAAAACGACTAAAAAGTAGATAAAAGCAAGTCAAAATCCTCTTTCTTTCTTTCTTACCCCTTTTAGCGCCAGGTAAACAAGTTTTTGGAATGTGTCGAGGTCTCTTGTGTCCATATATTTTGGTCGTTTGTCTTCAAGATGTTGGTCACTCTGAAAGTAAATGTAATTAAATACTTATTGAATTAATGTCTCTTGACGACTTGAATCAACAATACATAGTACTGACACTTTCGTACCTTCAAAAATCTGAAATTATTTCAATTTTTAAATCCTCAAAATCTTTGCACCTGGTTAGAATAGATTTTTTTTTCTATAATTTTGAAAAACAAACGAAACCTTAATTTCTTTTGGTCCTGAGATATTAGAGTGTCTGATATAAAATGAATAAAAATCAATTTTACTTTTCCTAAATTATATATCTTTCAAAATGTAAGGCTATTTACTTGTATGTCTTTTTTCCCCATTTTTTTCATTCAAATAAATGATTTTTTTTCCACTTCAAAAATTTTTTGCTACATGACTTGAGTTTTTTTTTTTTTTTATTGGCAGAAAGATGTTTCTTCACATGTTCAATTTTAATATCATGCCTTATAAAATCCAATGCCTTTTCAGGAACACTTAGCACAACCTTTCTTTATATTGATAGTTAAAAAATTCAGTTTTTTGTGTTTTGCTTTGGCAGTCGAAATCCGGCACTACTTTTCGCAAACAATAGAACATATTCTGACGTAATTTAGCATCATAATTCTTCTTAAAATCTTTCATGCTCTAAGTCAGGAGTGCAAAAAAATAATAACCAATGATCAAATATGTATAAATACAAACAAAAATTCATGAGTAGAATGTTTCTGGTTGACCTCAATTGATAACATTGTTTTAAAAGATACCACAGAGTCTGACACATCTGTTTCATATTTGGATAGTTTACTTGAAAAAGACGTTAATGGTAATCTAACAACCAAGCTTTATGATAAACGTGATGACTTTAACTTTTCAATCGTCAACTTCCCTTACTTATGCAGCAATATACCTTCATCACCTGCATACGGGGTATATATTTCTCAGTTGATTCGATACGCAAGAGCATGCTCTACGTATGTACAATTTCTAAAACGAGGTAAATTATTGACAAATAAGTTGATGAAACAAGAATATCAGCTGTCTCGTTTAAAGTCATCATTTCGTAAGTTCTATGGTCGATACAATGACCTTGTCAGCAAATACAATTTATCATTGAGTCAAATGCTGACTGACGTTTTTCATACTAATTGTTAGGCCATTATTTACACACTGAATTGTCGACGGATTTTTCCGTTATTTCCCGATCATGACAAGGAGCACACAGCGGGTGTGACCGGTCGGCAGGGGATGCTCACTCCTCCATGGCACCTGATCCCACCTCTGATGTTTGGAGGTCTGTGTTTGCTCTGCTCCTATTTTGTATTGATTAATGGACTTTTGAGCTTGAATACTGTTCGTTATCTCCATATATTTCATTACCCCCAGAAATAAAAAAATGTCATTTAAAATATACTTTACCTTCTTAATATATTTTAAGCTAGTTAAGTATATGTTAGGGAGTGGTTTGTGATACATGTATAAAACCAGGTTTACACAATTTTATGCTTTTTAACAAAGAAGTATTCCACTATTAATTACGCATAATTTCGTTACAACTTGATGTTTCTAAAACTTTATGAATTTTTGTGTTCTGTGGTTTTAATTTTTAGTCTTACTGCAGTCAGGGGTGATAAAAATGTTTAATATAATTATCTATGGATTTCATCTCACTTTACCACAGAATAAATTACAAATACTATTTGAAGTTAAAATCCTCAACAAATCACAGAATATTTTGTACAATTTAAGTTAATTCATAGAATAGTTTTCATCATAACACATATATTCAAAAACGATATATGATTACAAAAACAAATAAGAATATTTTGAAGTCAAGAAAATACGACAAACTTTCTGTGAATGATAAAAATACATAACTGCTTAACAAAATTTTAAATGCGATATTCTGTGTTGTGTTATGAATCAATATAATAAAAGAAAACGTGTGATATTAAACTTACTGTTTATCTTAAAATTAAACCAACAAAAAAGTATTTTTGGTGAATTTATTGCATCGCATTTCTTTCATATTGAAACTTTTCAAACCAGGATTGAGACAATTAATATTAAATAACAACCAAAGAGCCAATTTGTTTCACATATTTATATCAGATATAAAACGATCAACGCTTAAATCTAATCGTTTATATCCCTGACACAAGTCTGAAAAATGGAAAGTTACAGTTGGCTATGATAATGTATATCACAAAGTCGTTTAAATTGATTGATTGATTGTATGTTGCTTAACGCCCCATTCGTGAATTTTTAACTCATATGGAAATGTCACCGTATGTCGGTGAAGAGCTTCAAATTCAGAGTCATACTCGGCACCCAGGGGCAATTGAGCTGTGGGGGTTCTTTACCGTGCCAACGCCTACCGTGACACGGGACCTCGGTTTTTTAAGGTCTAATCAGAAAAACCGTGACTTTCACTTCTAGTGCCGGGCGCTTGGCGAAGGAACAGTTGTTACAGGTCTTTGGCGTAACGCAGAGTGGCAAACGAGAATCGAACCCGGTCCTTCCGATTACGAAGCGAGTGCCCTGCCACTAGGATACCATGACTGGTTACAAAGTCTTTTAGAATGTAGTAACAGATACTTTTAAATGTAGTTCTACAAATAGGTCACAGATACGATAATTCATTGGCCATATTTAGAAACTATTTTGCACAGTTAAAATATTTGTTTTGCAAATGTAAGCATAAGAATGAAAATTCCTAAGAAGAGGTATTACTAATACATTAAAGTTATTAAGAAAAGTTTTTTTTTTTTTTTTTTTTTTTTTGAATCCTTGTAAAACTATGTTTCCGGGGTCAAACAAAAGAACACATGCTTTCCGTAACCTAACACATAAACCTACTCCACTCTGTTTACACAAATCTTAAAATTAGCTGTCATCACAAAAAAAGCATATCATGCCACAAATGCATAGGCAGCAACATCAATAAAAGGCTTTTCCAGAGAGCATATAAGGTGTAACAGCTAGTGCAATTACACACGGTTCTCCTTTATTAGAAAAATTAGTATAAAACGGAAACTCGGATTGAAGACAATATGCATGCCCACAGACATTCTTTAAAAAAAAGGGGGGGGGGAGAGGGGACTGGGTCAATTCCAAAAAAAAAGTTCGACAATTTAAGCCAAAAATCTCAGTAAACTACCCAAAGTTGAAAATCCTATTTCATGTGGGGAAGGGGGGGGGGTGCTAGGAAGTTGACCTTCCCATTGCTTTCATTGTATTTTTAAATGCTGGAATAAGCCGGTGATCGACTATACAGCATGACAAAGTGGGTGGGGGCAAGCAGCATCCAAATGAAAATTTCAAATCAAAGCTACAGCAAATGACTTTCCTCAGAAAAGTCGGGGGATTTCCCACACACAGCGTAACACGGCTCTTCGATGCACACTATTTAAAAAAAATCGTGTATAATCTTATAAATAGCTACAATTTGTTCTTGAAATGTTAAGAAAATAATGTGATGCCATCGAGAAAGTCGAAATTCAACTACCATATAATATTTAAGGAAACGTTATCTCCCTTGACATAAAATTAAAAACAAATCCTCAACTCAAACATTTTTTTTTTTTTTTTTTTTTTTTTTTTTTGTCAGGGGAATTTGGGGGATGGGAAATGAGAAGGGCTGGTCCTAATCAATGGTCTGCATCTGATATATTTAACTTTTCTGTATTTATGTATAGAATTGTTTACAAGCAATTTCAAGGCTACATTGGAGAACCATGATTTGTCGATATGAGGGATCAAAATGCGTAACAGCTGATTAAGTATTCATTGGATTATCAACTTAGATTTTGACATATGCTTCACTGTCTCTTGGTATTTCAATATCTTAGTAATTCTGATATAAATAATCGATTTTTATCAAAAACTCATTATTAGAGCTTGCTGTTTTAATAACAAACATTCTTCACCTTAAATAATTTCATTAATATTTTAATGGATTCTCTCAAAGTTTGAAATTAACAAAGAAATATTTAAAAAACAAACATTATTCTGAGATCGATTATGTCATAGTTGAAGAGGTTTTTCGCAAAGGATTTGAATTCTTAAAGCTTTAGATTCAAAGAAAAGCGAATCATTGACTAAATTGCAAGAACAAAAACAAATATAGTAGGCAACTACATTGTACGTAATACGGCGGGTGTGACCAATCGGCAGGGGATGCCCACTCCTCCATGGCACCTGATCCCACCTCTGATGTCTTAGAGGTCCGTGTTTGCTCTGCTCCTATTTTTAATGGACTTTTGAGCTCGAATACTGTTCGTTATCTCCACATATTTCATACATGTAGTCAAACCTTTTGAATAGAATAATTAAAGCTGCTGGACATCTAAACTTGTTTAAATTTTATTCATAGCCTAGGTATTTTTGTTAAGGTTTCACGTTCAAAACTTTTGTTGATTCCATATATGGTTGGAAATTTACTTTATTTTCCTTATAGATAATATTCTCATTTTTCCCAATTTTACATAATTTTATATATAACACTTATGTGCCAAATGTTTTTTCTCATTGAAGCTTGCATTAAATGACAAATCATATCAACAACAATGAAACATCTTAAATATTTTTACTTCTTATGGTATTCACCCAGAAAAAAAATTACGACTACAATATAGATCATTAAATACACTTATAGTACATGTACAAGGAACATAAATAAGCATAAGAAAACACAACACTTATCATCATGCATATAACTCGGGATGCATCGACTAGCAGCATACGATAAGCTATGCTAGCATTCAAATCATTATACATTATTTATTACACATTTCGAGTTTGAATAAAGATGTTTTTAAAGATACCAATTATGTCAGCAGGGGACATTTATCGACAAGCTCAAATTTAAATCCATATTGAAACAATTGTAAACACCTATAATTCAAGAATGCTAGAACTACATTGTTCAGTTCAAAATATCTACTTCATTATCGCTACATGCATAAGTACTACTTCCTGTAACATGACCCGATCAAACCAACATAGGCTCAATTTACGTAGCAAATAGATAATTCCAAAAGTCCAAAAAAACAGAAAAGTCCCTTGTACTTTATTGCTAATTCTCTGCTTCAAGTACAGCACAGTGAAAGTACAGTAAAACCTTACTAATTAGGGTACTCTGTATTCCGAAATCATGCCTACTACGATGGAAGCTTTCACTTCCTTGCAATAAATTTAATTATTGAAATCTTCTTGAACCCGGAATGTTGTCTTTTCCGGCCTTTTTTTGTTGAATCAGTGGTGCCCCCGGATCAGAGATGTTTTACTGTACATTTATCAAGCTAATTAAATTTACCTCTGTTTCCCGGGCAACATCTATGGGGACACTGAATGCAGACGATATCAGGGCCAGAACGAGACCAGAGTACAACATTGCTGACATACTGATCTCCATGTCTGTAAAAAATAATAATAAGTAAGAAACAGTGCAAAAATGGTAGAATTCCTTCTCTATGAAACAAACATAATTGGTGACGAATATTCAGTGCTGAACAATCAAAGTTTATTGAAAAAAAATGAATCTTACTGTTTCATTTAATAGGTATTAAACGGCTGTTAAGCTAGGCTAGGAAACTTTGAAATGTAGGTAAAATTTAATGTCATTTGGATTCATAATTGTGTGGGTTTTTTTATTTTTATTTTTATTTTTTTCCCTTAGACATGTACACTGTTCCATGATGATATAGTCATTACTTACACGTATGTTTTGCAGCTACTTTACAAATAAGTCAAAAAATCCTAGAAAAATTAAAGTAGATTCTTAAAACCACTCCTATAAACTGTTTAATGCTAGGAAATAATAAAAGTTCTCTTCAATAATATATCAACGTTTAAAAACACAAAAAATCCCATAATTATCTACATATCATTTGCTTAGTTTCAAGTTAGAGGCAAAAGATTGTTTAACTGAATAAAATATGGACACAGTTTCGAAGACATCTTCTTCACAAATTTCCTGGAACCTTAAATCAATATTAAGCTTTGTAACATTTGATACATACTAAATTTTTCTCTTACACGAGGTAAAACGATCAATCTATTCACTCTCTCCTCATTAACAAAGAGCCACAATATATGAATTTGAAAGAAGAATTTGAAAACTACATTGTAATTGTATATTTCTACATTTAAAACTACCCGCAGGTATGGGAAGAATTTTTCATACATACCATTTAATGTATATTTTTGCATGGTTCATTTTTACGGAATTTTACGCTTGGAACAGATCCGCAAAAATTACAATCGAAAAATATGATAACACTATTCAGTTTTTCATCTTCGATAGCAAACATTAAAGTGTATCGCACTCCGAGGTACTTTTTCGCCTGATTCTACGCGAATTATAGACAGTTCATCTTTTGAAATATGATGAGTGGTGCTTTGAACTTGTGCAAAAAGATTTTGGGAGGGACCAAAACGGGGTCAAAAAAAATTTCTACAAAAACCTAGTCTCTTGAATTCCTCGTTCATTTTTCACAGTAGTCCATTTATATTTTAGAATATGAATGGTAGTGTCATTTAGATGTGCAATAAGGTTTTGGAATTTGATTTTAACCACAGGGGCCGACTGGGGGCCAGAAATCAACATTTTCTACAAAACTCTAGGTTCCCTGATTCATGTAATATGTTTGCAGTAAATAGAACCTTTCAGGGATCAGATAGCAAAATATTTTTAACACCCTTTATACAGTATTTCAAACATTATCGATTCTGTACATGTAAAGATATCCCAGGGGTCATCATTTAAACAAACTTGAATCTACACTACTTGGGGGTGCTTTCATATCAATATGACTAAACATAGCTTTTCTGTTCTTGAGAAGAAATATTTTTTCTATATGTTCTTATGTAAAATTTTTGATCCCGCATTGTGGCCCGACCCTATCCACGGGGGTCATCATTTGAACAAACTTGAATCTACACTACCTGAGGATGCTTCCATATCAAAATGACTAAATGACTCATGGCTTTGCAGTTCTTCAGAAGAAGATATTTTCCTATATATTTCTATCTAAGACTTTGATCTTCCATTGTGGCCCCACCCTACCCCCAGGGGTCATGATTTGAACAAAATAGAATCTATCCAACATGCGGATGCTTCCATATAAATGACTCATCATGGCTTTTCTGTTCCTGAGAAGAAGATTTTTAAAGGTTTTTCCTATATATTTCTATGTAAAACTCTGATCCTCCATTGTGGCCCCGCCCTACCCACGGGGGTCATGATTTGAACAAACTTGAAAATACACTACCTGAGGATGCTTCCATATTAATATAACCAATCAGGGCTTTGCTGCTTCTGAGAAGAAGATTTTTAAAGGTTTTTCCAATATATTTCTATGTAAAACTTTGATCCTCCATTGTGGCCCCGCCCTACCCCGGGGTCATGATTTGAACAAACTTGAATCTACACTACCTGAGGATGCTTCCGCATGAGTTTCATCTTTCCTGGCCCTGTGGTTCTTGAGAAGAAGATGTTTAAACGGTGCTATTAATTTTTCACTAATTCTTTATTATCTCCCCTTGAAAGAGGGCGTAGCCCTTCATTTGAACAAATTTGAATCCCCTTTACCAACGGATACTCTGTGCCAAGTTTGGTTGAAATTGGCCTAGTAGTTTTGGAGAAGAAGATGAAATTGTGAAAAGTTTACAACGACAACAACAACGCCGACGACGACGACAACTACGACAGACAACGGACAAATTTTGATCAGAAAAGCTCACTTGAGCCTTCGGCACAGGTGAGCTAAAAAAATCTTTTAAGATTTTTGCTATATCTAGCTAGTATGTTTGTTTGTTTATTGTTTAAACGTTCCTCTCGATAATTGTTTATTCATATGGAGACGCCACCACTTGCCGGTGGAGAGCCGAAAATTTTGACCTAAACTCGGCACTCAGGGCCGTTGAGCAGTGAGGGATCTTTTTAGTGCCAGCACTTACTGCGACACGGGACCTCGGTTTATACGGTCTCATCCGAAAGACCGGTCTCCACGTCCCACAGTGGGGTTGGAACCCGCGACGTAAGGATCAACTCCTTGCTTTACGACTCTAGAGCGAACGCTCTAACGACTGCACCTCGCGGGCGACTCTTACTAGTATGAGTTTTATTGATATGCATCATGAACTCAAATGAAACGTAGTTCTCTTTATTCTTTATCATAGATCAGAATGATGTTCGCAATAAAATCAATTACAGAAAAGAATAATGCTTCTGAAACACAGTTTTATTTAATATGTCTCTGTAATTCTGATTGTGTACACGTTTTTCTCTTCTTCTTTTTTAACTAAGATAAAATAACTCTTTACAAACACTCCTTGAAATATTTTAAATTTTAGACGGATTAGAGGCTAAAACCAGAAGAATAAAGCTTACATCTTTGGAAAAAAAAAACAGCTTTTGGCATGTAAAGAAAAAAGTCTTGAGAGAATGCTTAGCTAATTACTTTTTTCTGGATACAGTTATTTTCACGCTTTGAAAATTGCTTTGTAATCAACAAGTAGATAAGTGCCACACAGACTTCTATTGAGGAGCGCCGTATGTAATTAGATTTCGAGGCACATAAAGATATATACTCCAACAGATACGATATCTAATCATCCAAATGTAGCACTTCCAACCGTGGTCAATTCTGTATCCTTGCATATATTTATTATGTAGAAAATCAGTTATTGATTATAGTGATGAATGTAATTTACTTCATCATATGATAATTGTATTTGTGCATCTAAATCATTCATAATACGTGTCTACAAGACCCATTAGTTCACAGTAAAGAATTGGGTTGTATCGAGAAGGACTAAACAAGAGACCTCTTTACAATGAATGAAATGTGAAGCTAACAAACGGTAATCATTCCAAAAAGTCCAATTAAAGAATTCAAATTAGAAGCAGAACAAACACGGACCTATGAAAACATCAAAGGTGGGATAAGGTACAATGGAAGAGTAAGCAACTCCTGTCGCCCGATCACATCCGTCTTGAGCCCTTTGTTTTGATCGGATAAACAGGGTAATTCCTAGAGAATTCAATGTGTTTTGTTTGTTGTTTAACATCCCTCTTGAGAATTTTTTACTCAGATTGAAAAGCTACACCACTCGCCGGTGGAGAGCTACAAATTTAGTCTAATACTCGGCACTCAGAGTCATTGAGCAGTGAGGGAACTTTCTCATGCCAGCATCTACTGCGTCACGGGACCTCGGTTTATACGATCTCATCCGAAGGACCAGTCTCTACGTCCCGCAGTGGGATTCGACGTAAGAATCTAGTCCTTACTCCGCGATTCTAAAACAGAAATTCTAACGACTGCGCCACGCGAGCAACGAAAACAATAGTCTATTATTTTGTATTGAATATGTCTGTCAACATCCGACGTAATGACAAGGTTGAGATTGCAAATTACATGTAGGTTATTGTATCCACCACGGAACTTGCAAAATTATGACTCTAATCGAGGTTGTTGATGTCCTTATAACAGAAATTTATTTATCAGTAGCCTGCTTCAGCGCCAGCAAAACAGTCTCTTGCATATCGAATCAGCTGGGAAACATAAATATTATATGCATGTGACAAATGTAAATTGCATAAATACATGTAAAGAAAGTTGAAAAAAAGAAAAGTTGACGTCATCGAGATAGAGTTGTTAGTTTTTCCATCAGTGTCTTTCTGTAGCAAAATCCAAATATGAAACAGATGTGGATGTTTGAGCCTATGTGGTTTCTTCTATTTCGAGTTCAGTGGAATACCTCCATCAATGGATGAATGAAAATGACGAACTTGTAATTGATAAAACGTCTTTAATATATATAAATGGCGAATTGAAGCAAGATACTTCTATTCATGTAGATATTTTGTAACAAATTATACTTCGAAAGTCTGCTATTAAAGGGTCACATCAGTACCCTTAGGGATTTTAACAAATTGTTGGCATACCTGGCCCAAAGACCATAAAATGAGAGAAACCTGAGTCAAAATTTAGATTCTGAATATATTTATTTTTGTTTGACATTTTATTTTTATCGAAAGTTTTAATTTTCATTTCAACAGTATAATATTCAAGTGTTAATAAAAACTGATTTTCTTTCTATTTTCAAAATAAATTCAAAAGTTACGTTTATTTGAAATTAAGACTCGAGTCCCATCTCAGTTTATGGTCTTGGAACCCGGACTCCAAATACTACAATATTGTGTATTGTATAGAGGAACTCAAGTGTCTTTTTAATGTTAAGTTTGCAAAAAAATGCCTTTAGTCTGGAACAACAGCAATTGGTGATAATTTGGTATTGCACATGCTGTGTTTACATGTAATAACCATTTCTTATATAAAAATCAGTACATATTCAATTACTATATTTCGAGTGATCATTAAAACAACCTAGAAGATACATTGTCCTTTTTT